ATTGTATAATCAATTTTATAGCTTGAACTGAATAGTGTTCTACAGGTTCTGAAGCTGAGAACACGTTCTCCCGCGCTCCCGATGGCGACAACGATAACATAGACTGCATGAGCTGCACGACTTCCATGTCTCTCATCACCGACGTCGGCGCCTCACACTGCAACGGCCCCAACAATTCAGGCCTCACAATACTGCCTATCATCTGCATCAACGATAATTCAGAGATGTCTGGAGAGACCACCAAAATCCCAGTGGTTCATCAAACCTCAGGGGCCTACGATAACCTTGCTGTAGATCTTGCCGAGGCTAATGTTATAAAATCGCCTAAGCTTGGTTCAACTTTCCTAAGTCCGACCGAAAGCTCAAAATTTTTAAGAGACACTGACACCTCATCAGCCTCTGATGCAGCTAAAAGGCGCGCTTCAATGCCTTTCATTGCGGTGTCAGGTTCTTCACTCAGCAAGACTTTGTTGCCAGATCCTTCGTACTCTTCCAATATACGGCGAAGATCTCTTCTTCCTGGTAAGATTATGACTATTCAATTCTTAAACTTCATCTCTATCTGGGTCCAATCATTTTTAGTGGGCCTTACTATAATAAAAGCTATTATAACATACAAATTGATTACAATACATTACCTATATCGGATCAGGAGTCCTGGGGTAATTCCAACTCATGCTAGACTTTCCTCACTAACTTAATCTGATTTTGTATGTAAGCACCAAGTTGAATTTGAATATCTTTACCATTCCATGTACTGTATTTCGAATGGTCCGAGTTCCCTCTGGCTTTGCAGTCTGCCCGCCAATGATTTTACTCAGAACACTTTGAGGCCACCGTCGAAATCAATACCAATAAATGTAGCATTCGCGACGTTGTCGGAGCCTTAGCATTTACACGAAAAGCCCATAACAAAATATGAGGATAATGGAGGCGGTCTTCTATCTTTTTCGCCAACGGCTTTCATATGGTGCCATCTGATATAAATTGAAAACATTTCATCAATTCAATCTGCTCGCCATCATACATTGCTGCTAGCAAATTTAAGACTAAAATTATTCTGTTTTCTTTTCTGGAAATTCATGATTCTAGATAGAATAATTTTTTTTATGAGCCAATCAATAGTTGATTCACTCGGATTAAGCAGAAGAATTTCGATAATTTGATCGAGCACAGATTAAAGACGACATGAAAAGCTTTACAAATATGAATAAATTATAAAGCTATACATATACGGCATTAACACCGGAGCAGGTTTCTTTACAGGAGGAACCATCAAAGAAGAGCAGCCTTATGACCTGTTGAGCGATAAGAAGGTTTCGAGCGATGAGTCAGCAGACGGGGATCACGACAACGCACGAGGCGGTCAGTGCGAGAGACTTGACTTTAATTACAGCCACCACACACATAAGACTGGACTTCGATTACAGCCACCACACACATAAGACTGGACTTCGATTACAGCCATCACACACATAAGACTGGACTTCGATTACAGCCATCACACACCTAAGACTGGACTGCGATTACAGCCACCACACACTTAAGACTGGGCTTCGATTACAGCCACCACACACATAAGACTGGGCTTCGATTACAGCCATCACACACCTAAGACTGGACTTCGATTACAGCCACCACACACTTAAGACTGGACTTCGCCTACAGCCACCACACACATAAGACTGGGCTTCGATTACATGCAGCCACCACACACATATGACTGGACTTCGATTACAGCCACCACACACATAAGACTGGACTTCGATTACAGCCACCACACACATAAGACTGGACTTCGCCTACAGCCACCACACACATAAGACTGGACTTCGCCTACAGCTATCACACACATAAGACTGGACTTCGATTACAGCCATCACACACATAAGACTGGACTTCGATTACAGCCACCACACACTTAAGACTGGACTTCGATTACAGCCACCACACACTTAAGACTGGACTTCGATTACAGCCACCACACACATAAGACTGGACTTCGCCTACAGCTATCACACACATATGACTGGACTTCGACTACAGCCACCAAACACATGTATGACTGGACTTCGCCTACAGCCACCATACACTTAAGACTGGACTTCGACTACAGCCATCACACACATATGACTGGACTTCGCCTACAGCCACCACACACATAAGACTGGACTTCGATTACAGCCACCAAACACATATGACTGGACTTCGCTTACAGCCACCAAACACATAAGACTGGACTTTGCCTACAGCCACCACACACATAAGACTGGATTTCGACTACAGCCACCGCTCACATAAGACTGGACTTCGAATGCAGCCACCACACATGACTTGAAATCAACTACAGTCACCACATATGACTTTACGTCGACTTCTACCACCACATATGGACAGCGACTACAGTCATCACAAAGACTTGACTTTAATTACGACCACCACAGGAGACTTGACTTGGACTACAGTCTTCACATAAGACTTTTCTCCGACTATAGTCATCACATTAGACTTGACTTCAATTAAAGTCACCACACAAGACTCCTACTTACTATGATTAATTTTTCTGATAGTCAAGTTCTTCGGCATGTTAATGAGTTCAACAGAGTCTCTTTAGTGAAAATTGTCGATAATTAATTTTTCTCTACTATGCTAGAAATTTCATTGATAAACTCTTAGGAACTGAAAATCGTTAGTTATAACTTCAAAAAAATAATTAAGGCACAAATTTTCTTAAAGTTCTTCTAAACTAATACCCTAAACAAACTCAAGCCTAACGTTTCGTGACGGACGGGACTTATCGGTCCCAAAACACTAGGTACGAATAGCATTGAGGACGGTAAATGTATCCGTGACGGAAGGGTTAAGAGAGTAACTGGTGCTCTTATCTAGTGCAGATCTAGGCAGCATGAACACAGTGGTTCGTGGACTGTCTTATCTGGGATCGCGTCTACTGAATTGCGACTGGTGCTCACCCGCCACGCTGGATGACACATCGCCTACAACCCCAAATACAAGCGATAACCTCGAATGCGTCTTCACGTGCTCTCCCTACGGCAAGGTGGGTGCAAAATAAGTGGCTGGACCACTAATTGAGGAGTAATATGTGCATAATAGTTCCCACTGACAGTGAGAACTGTGATATAATATAATAAACAATGCCAAAACTTTTCAGCTGGTATGAAGTTCATTCTACTGGATTTTTTTGTGAACCAGAATGTTTTCATCAGTACCGAAATAACGGCTGTTAGGAATATTTTCCAATGCAGGAAAGAGAAAAAGGGCTGAGATCTGGTGAATGCGTGAACCGAAAATTCGATGGTGACGAGGGATATAATAAGATTGGTAAAAAATAAATCTGTTACAAAAAGTTATTAATATTACCAACTGAAGTTACAAAGTTAATGTATGAATTTTAAATACATCTTGCAATTTGGGACAATATTGTCGCACGGGCAAGTGATCTGGGAACAACAGTACGGCAATGCTAGATCTAAAAACAGTACAGTAATACCGTACCATGAAAAGCGTGCAATACGAGATCTAGAGAGCGCACAGCAATTCTGGAACTGGAAAAGGCACCGCAATATTAGATAAACCCAACCCAACTTAACCCAACCTAACTCAACCCAACCTGACCCAACCCCAACTAATCCAACCTAACCTAACTCAACGCAACCTAACCCAACCAACCCAACCCAACATAACCAAACCCGGCCCAAAAACCGGGAAAACTCATAAACCTAAAATCCCAAAAATCCCAACCCAAACCGACCCGACCCGACCTGCCTGACCTAACCTGACCCTAAACCCAACCAAAACCTAAGCCCAACCTAACCTAACTTAACCTAACCTAACCAAACCTAACATAGCCTAGCCTAACCTAATTTAACCTTACCTAACCTCGTTCATCAGTAACTACTGTGTGATGACATGGGCCTGCCTCACTACCATACCGATTGATATGAACGTGTCAGGCGGGCAAGGTGTTGACGTTCGTATCCTTGCTACTGCTGGTCTGGGGGGCGCTGTACTTCATGGCTGGCGACGTCGCTGCTGCGGGTGGAAACTTGTTCTCTCTTCTCGTCGTTTACGTCGCCTCAGTGATCGGTGGCAAAGTTTCACAAGTAATCTAACATTTCACATTTTAGAGTTATGATTTGTGTGCTTCATTTTTTCGATTTTTGAAGCTTCTCGTGGTGACATAGTTACAAGGGATGGCAGAATTTTCTTGGTGTTCCTTCAATAATTTGGCTGCGCTTTATTTCGGCATCGCCTTGTTGTCAGTGTGTGCTTTCAGTTTTTGGCATTTATTGTAATTTATATACATTTTCTTGCGATTCCATGCATTGAAAAATGAAGAAAACAATCTCGTGCTTTTCTCCCCAATGTTTGTAACTCATTTTTCAAAAAAAAGTTCTCGTCGTTTACGTCGCCTCAGTGATCGGTGGCAAAGTTTCACAAGTAATCTAACATTTCACATTTTAGAGTTATGATTTGTGTGCTTCATTTTTTCGATTTTTGAAGCTTCTCGTGGTGACATAGTTACAAGGGATGGCAGAATTTTCTTGGTGTTCCCTTGATTTGGCTGCAATTTAATTCGGCTTCGCCTTGTTTTCAGCTTTGTGAAGCCGAATTATATTAATGGATTCTTTGTGAATTAATGTGCGGTTTCAGCTTTTTGTCATTACTTCAACAAGAATAATATTCTTGCATTTTATATACATTTTCTTGCGTTTCCATGCATTATAAAATGTACAAAAAAATATCGTATATTTTTTCCCGCTGTTTGTAACTCATTTTCCGAAACATTTGCTTCTCTCTTTTTTACATCATTGGCATTTCTAGTACGCTCCAATTTACACATAACTCACTTCTCAAACAATCTGCATGCATTGGTATTCAGTAAACGTTAATTTATTATATCTCAAAATTGTAACATTTCATCTTTTCTCTATAATGCTAAAGTCTAAACGATGATAATATTCCTCAACGTTACTCAGGCATGTGGGTTGCCCCCGCTCCCAGGGATGATGTTGTCTGGCGTGGCGCTGAGGAACCTTCCGGGGATTCAGATCATTGGGGAAGCCATCGACCTCAGCTGGTCTCGCGCTATCAGGTTGGTCTCATGGCTTATGTCTTGTCGTGTTATGCTCCAGCTTATGTCTATGTCACCTGCCCTTTTGTCTCATTATAGCTACCGTCTCGTGTGCAAACATACATTGAAATGGTCAATAGGCTAATTTTTAGATCTGTGGATAATTCAGGAAGAATCGTTAACATGCCTAACCAGGCCTATTCTTCAACACCAAGGCTACTAAACTATACGTTCCAAATATGTTATGCTCACTCCTCCGTTGTTAACTTAAAAATCGTATTTATCAGCCTGGCAATGATCATAACAATGAATTGTCATTTAATTTATATATAGGAAGAGAACCTTGAGTTTCGAGTTTCTATCGTAGCCGTGCGTAATGTCGTCTATTTGGTTATCGGTTAATTTTATTTCTGCACAATTAAATTTATAATGATTAAATTGGATACATAAATCCATTTAATATAATTGGACAATGATATGAATCACCAATCACGTTGTTGTACAAGAAAATCTTACACAAGTCATTTACGCTTTGTTTATTATAATTATTATGATTTATTATCAAGTAGCACAATATAAAAAAAAATTATGCTAAAGCGGAGACAGATGTATGCAGAAAAGTGAAGTTTTTGATGATTGTACGAAAAATATATCCAATTCTGTAATAAATTTACTCCTAATGTACATTGTTAGGGTTTTAATTGAAGAATTTTTTTTGAAATTTGCTACTCGCAGACTGGGTCGCGAGAAAGCCAATTTCACCATTTATGGAACTTTTTCGTTCAAACTGAAAACTAAGTTCTATTATTACACAATGTCATTTATTGCATTTCGGTGATGGTTCACCAGTATTATTCTAAGAATTTCCCTAAATCCATGATACAAGTTACTCTAATTATCTAGTGAATTCATTTATGACGTTCTATATCCGCCACTAACCAAACGGCTGTAGTCATTGTTTGTCTGCCATAGGCAGCTCTGCTATCAAGTACAGTCTTTCAAGCAAGTCAGTATTTATAAATGTTCTCTGCAGTTAACAGAGAACTTTTAAACTATTTTTATTATATCATCATCATTTATTTCTTGCAAGATATATTTATATGGTTATTCGTCCAGTCATTCTGGCCATATCCATAAAATAACCCATGTAAGAGAGGTTCACCGAAAATTCAAAGCCCTGCATTCCTCAGGGGCATAGCGGTTGTGGTAATTATTCTCCGAGGAGGACTGATTTTGGACCCAAAAGTCCTCAAGACTATGCCGTTCGTGATCTTCAGGCTCTCCAGTGTGCCGTGCATCGTCGAGACCGTCGTCGTTGCTGTCGTCTCGCATTTTCTACTCGGCTTTCCTTGGCTTTGGAGCTTCATGCTTGGGTATATTACTCACTTTTTTTATATAAGGATGAAGTCTCATGCGAACAATATATAAAATAACACTGCAATTTTAATGCTGCCCTTAATGTACAGTTTGGCCTGCTTAGTGCATATGAGTTTCGAGCATGGCCTAAAGCCCTAAACTATATCAAAATTTTGGGGCCACCAAGGCTTCGGCGGAATAGCTGCTACACGCAAAGATATTATGGATCTGCTTGGCTCCTGTTCAAAATCTCTTTTCCGACTTTATAGTCGCCTGAGAGTATGACACTGGTTGGCCGAGCCAAGTCATGACGAGCTTGCAAGCTGCCCAGAGAAGCTTATTTACGTGCTCTCCGAGTCCAAGACGGCACGTATTTCAGTCGGGCACGCATCTAAATTTTGTTAGAGAATCAGATATGTTATATAAAATGGTCAAACGCAAGCTATGAGTTGGTTGTCAAAATAATTTGTAAATATCATTTAATTCATTATAATTTTTTGTAATTTTTTACAAAAAGTTTATTTTCAACAGGTAAAATTAAGATAATGACGATTGTTCAGGTTAATTCCCTTAGAAAATTTGAGTGAACAAACCATCCATAAAATCAGCAGTATAAACATTGTTCAACATTTAACATTGATTCATATTATATCATTAACAGGTAAATTAAACCTTATTTCAGGTTCATTTTGACAGCTGTCACGCCGCCAATTATAGTGCAGTGCCTGCTGCAGTTGTCGCTGCAGGGCTACGGAACGTTATAATATATATATTATTTCATCACTTAAACCTAAAGTAGTATTTATTGCCTGCGAGAACGATTTTTCCGCCTGTACGATGCACGACCATCATTGTTTGTATGCATGCGCAGGTTCCTTGACGTGGCACATTTTGAAGTGGCCTCTTGCATTGATGATGGGGCTATTTTTTGGGGCCGCGATGGGACTGATCTGCTGGGTTCTGCCTAGCAAACGCAAGCAAGGTCCTTCGTTGCGGCTGTCTGCCATGCTTCTAACAGCTGGACTCTTCATATTCTTTGGGAGTCGGAAGGTCGGTGCAGTTGTAAATGCTTCAAGTTGTCGCTGTATTTATGTAACTCGTGTTTTAAATGCACTGGCAAATCAAGATCTATTAAGATTCATGAGAGAGAAGATTGTTGAGTGTGTTCTGTGTAGTAGAATTTGACTTCTGTCATCTGCTTAATTTAGTTCAGTTGATTAAGATAGGTTGCAATCTTGAATTATTACTGCTTCTAATCAGCAGTATTTTTTTTCTGAAAATGTGTCATACTACCATTTCTCCACAAATTTACTTTGGGACGACTGCAGCCTCATCGGAAAATCTAATTTTAGCCGTCCAAATAACACGCGATCGATTGTCCAAATTTGACGTAATCCTATTTAATCTAGCCCTTGTTTGTGAGGTAACGTATTTTTGTGTTAACTTGGTCCAGATTGAATTTTTCGGTGGTGGAGCGCTGGCGGTGCTTACCATGGGGTTCGTAGCAGCGGAAGGGTTCAGGCGGCAGGGTTGGGGCGATGGTGACAACCCCGTGGGGCAGCACCTGATCTTCGTATGGGGCTACTTCCAGCCCATGCTGGATGGCCTCATCGGCGCCGAGATGCAAGTAAGCTGCCAGCTTTACGTATTAATTACCTCATGGAACCACCAGCAATTGGTTGTGCATGACAATTGCATGTTAATAATTAATATCAGATTAAATCACTGCTTCGATCAGACTTTTATATGATCAATTCATTTTAATAATTCGAGAGAATTTTTTCGCTTATTTCTACACTTTTGTAACGTTTAAAGAATTTCTTGTCACCTTTTTGTGGAAGTTTGATCGATCTTTCAGTTGCGAGAAATGGACCTTCACACTGTCGGGCTGGGATTAGCAATGCTGTGCATCAGCCTGACGTGTCGCCTCGTCACGACTTTCTATATGACGCTTGGCACAGGCTTCAACATCAAAGAGCGAATCTTCGTCGCCATTGCGTTAATACCGAAGGCCACCGTCCAGGTTCTCGGATTGTTTACTTTAACCATCCTGTAGTCTTCGGGTCAAAAAGATCCACATTTTCGACCCTATGTCCTCTGGGCGTTGGAAATAAACTTAAAATGCGTTAATACCGAAGGCCACCGTCCAGGTTCTCGGATTGTTTACTTTAACCATCCTGTAGTCTTCGGGTCAAAAAGATCTACATTTCCGACCCTATATAATGTCCTCTGGGCGTTGGAAATAAACTTAAAATGCGTTAATACCGAAGGCCACCGTCCAGGTTCTCGGATTGTTTGCTTTCACCATCCTGTAGTCTTCGGGTCAAAAAGATCTACATTTTCGACCCTATGTCCTCTGGGCGTTGGAAATAAACTTAAAATGCGTTAATACCGAAGGCCACCGTCTAGGTACTCGGATTGTTCGCTTTAACCATTCTGTAGTCTTCGGGTCAAAACGATCCACATTTTTAACCCTATGCCCTCTGGACATTGGGCGTAAACCTAAAATGAAGACTACAGGAGTGTTTTAATAGATAGAAGACTGTAGAGTGTAGATAAACTGTAAAAAAAACCTTGCGATTTTCTTTTCAATGTATTCTGCATTTTCTCATTTGATGATGACAGAAAGGATCATATTTTTCACAGTTCATTTGACTTGAACGCAATGAATTTGATTGCGGTTTTGTGAAAATTAGTTTCATAGCATCGGCAACTTGTAATTGCTTCTAATTGAATCTAGCTCGATAATGAACTTCGTTTATTTAAATTTATGGTCACCTCAAGAAATAGGTACATTTTGATAATGTTTTATGTCAAGTGACATTTAAGTTTCAAACAATTTTCCATTTTGCACGCTGGTCATAAATTATACCAATATTTTGTAAAAATGAAAACAGCGAACAAAAATTGAAGTTAAAACTTCACTTATATTAAATGTAATCCTTTTTAATGGTAATCATTTTAGTATAGATATTATGCTTACACAAAATTATTCAACCAGATTACGATTGGCGCAATGGCGCTGGAGCATGCAATCCGCATCGGAGCAGACGAGCAAGAGATCGCCCTAGCAAACCAGGTAAGTTGTCGCTCCAAGTTATGTCAAAATTACAGAATTTGCCGAATTACGTACTTTTGCACCATGTGTACTGAATCTGCCACCATGAATTTTTCAAAATTTATCAGGTTGCCAAACATTTTTCTCCTGTTGTTTTTAATTCGGATTTGCTTGAATTCTAAAATATGGAACTAGCACTTGGGCCCTACCGTAGACCCTATTAGTTGATTTCAAATCTAACTTAACATATATGTTCAATATTTTCATGAATTAAGATAAAACATATCAGCGATCAGGAATTTGTTTTAATATCCTGGTCGTCAAAATGTACGAAAAGTCAATCTTTCCTTCCATCTTCCTCGAAAAGTTTTAAAGTGGATTGTGTTATTTGCTAGTTTATCATATCAAAACTTTTTGGCCGCGTTTAAGAGGACAAGTTTACAGATATTAAGCTGGAAAAAATTAAAGTTGTCCCATTTTCGATATTTGTATGGGACTAAATCCTGCAGTATCTCTTCAATAATTGCTCGATTGAGACGATTCATAATTTCGATTTCGGTCGAGTGATAATATTCATCACATTATGAATATTTATCATACGAAGAATATTCATTACACGAATTACGAATATTCATTACATAAAAAATTATTCATCTCATTGTGTATATTTGTCAAAATAATGAACAGTAAATGGACACATGGTGTGAAAGCGAGTATAACAGGCCTGTAGTAGAATCAAGTTTTGGTATAATGGACAACGTAACTTAGGGTACGCACACAGTGAAAGCAGGTTGCCAGCGTGATGGTTACCTGCTCAGGCTGGCGCCTGAAATCATAGAATACAGAAGCCTATTCGTACAGGTTTTCAATGTGAACACTTACATTATTATTCTATGTTCATTCTTGTGGCAGGTTGGAGCAGGTTGCCCGCGCGGGCAAACCTGCTTTCACTGTGTGCGTACTGCGTACCCTAAGACATTTTCGATGCTGTTGCAGATACGGACCATCTCGTGGGTGACTATCCTATTCGCCGCGAATATCGGGGCCATCGTCACCACGCTCTCAGCCTCCAAACTTTTGCAGAGCTCATGTCCGCCCTCGCACTTGAATAATGTCTAAACCACCGTAAATTTCATTTCTTCAACTGTGAATTAATAATCCAGCAGTTCCAAAACTTGAATTCAATTTTAATCTTATTTTCAGCTGTTTTGTTTATACATAGTAGACCAGTTTTCACGAGTTTAGACTCGTGAAAAAAATTTTCATAATGAAGCTCAATGCTTTTTAAAGAGATATCGCGGAATTCTAGCATCCTCTTTAGGTGATATTTATCTGACAATTGCAGGATCCATGCGTAATTTAAGCAGAAATTTAATGAGACCAGCGCCTTTTTTCGTATCCGTGTGAAATTGTTAAGTGATACACTAATCCAAACTTCTGTACCTTTATTCCTTTATTTTAATGGTAAATATATTTAATAAATATATTAATAAGTACTCAGAGAAGTTTTTCGAATTTATTCTCCATGTAATCTTCAATACTCGAAGTGACAGTCTGATTGACAGTCTGATGGAGCAGGTCTCTAAACGTTTTCAGTAAAAAGTTTATGACTTTTCTGTGTGTTATCTATTGGCTGTAAAATTTCATATGACTTTATGAAATTTCGAGTCGCACCTTTTCTGTTTTGTCTTGTCTTGACGAGACCCAGTATTGCTCATTAATATTGTGTTTACAACCTACGTGAAAATTCGCAATTTTTATTCATTTGTGCTATAGTGTTATTCTGAAAGACAATGAACCGAAAATTTTGTTATTACGGTCATAAAGGTAATGCACTATTCTAGACCTATTGGCACAGTATTTGTAAGGTTAAAGAGAAATAGGGTAAGTATTCATTATTCCGCACAATAATCATGACATGCTATCGTTCCAGGTAACCCTGTTTGAGGGGCAGACTTAAGTAATGGTAGTCTGGTACTACAGGCGGCATTACGTACATTGTACTACATTGTACTATATCAAGAATAACATAAATTTCATTCGACTGATTCCGGCATAACTAAAATAGATCTTCCGAGTTTTAATTGTGAGCAAAAAAGTCATATATATTTGGGATTTCACCTAACGTTCCCATTAGTAAATTTTTTGCTTAATTAACACATATACTTTGAAGTCGCCCGTTTGAACTTACTATATTAAACGTTCGGAATACTATTGCAAGCCATATCATTTCTGTAGAAAATGAAAATATATAAAATTCAGCAATTAATTCATTCGCGAATAAAAGCCAATTATTTAATTTAATACAATTATCTTACAAATTGAGTAATAATGACAAAATTCCTGAGGAAATGATCCGAAATAAAGTTTGCATTGCTAATTGAATCAAGCAAGCCCAATCAACTGACTTCCTGTGGATGACTCGTGATGATTTTGTACATTAATTCACATCACAGGGTTACGTCAAACGGTGCTCGCTGTCCTGTATTTAGGATTAATGTACATATAATAACCGCCCGAGAAAAAGAAACTATGAAAAGATCACGAGACCATAAGCACGTAGCAGCAACAAACAACTGCTTCATCACTTCTGCATCTAGGAACCCGTAAGAGCGCCTGATCAGTCCAAGAAATTTGTTGGATTTATTAGCTTGCGTTTAATCATGCTTAGAAACTTTCAACTCCTTGTCGACATAAACTCCCAAATCTTTTTACACACAATACTGTTCAATTATTACTCTCTCGTTGCAACCATGTGTTCTCATACTGTAATCTTGCTGTTCATTGTTCTTCCCGAGGTGAATTGCTTTTCACAACTGCCACTCAACGCAACCACTAAACGCCACTAAAACGCAACTGCTACTCAACAGCCCAATTAACTAAACTCTCAAGATCATCTTGCAAATGCGCTTTATTTAACGCATCCTTCTCTGTATTATAAACTTTTGTGTCGTCGGCATACATGGAACACAAGCTTAACACTACTTCTGGCAGCTCTTTTATAAAAGCAACGATCAAAATAGGCCCAAGAACGCTTCCTTGTGGCACGCCACTGCGCACTGATGCCCAGTCGGACACGGTTCTGTAATACTGACACGCCGTCTACCTACTAGAAAATCTCTGATCCACTGGAGTACGTTTTTCTCTATTCCCTAAGACTTCACTTTACGCAACAGCCGTTCATGCGGAACACTGTTAAATGCTTTGGCAAAAATCGAGGTACAATGCATCCACTGGCTCCCTTTCGTCTTAGCAGGCGAGTCCATCGTTCAACGTAGACAAGATCGAGGTTATAGTGGTGCAGGATCTACTACGGGCAATAAAGCCATGATGACAGTCTGATCAGAGATGGTGAACAGTCAAGGCAAGTGATCGATAATCCTATCACTCACAACAGATTCCATTACCTTACAAACAACACTTGTCAGACTGACAAGGCGATAGTTACCGGGGCTACTTTTGTCACCCTTTTTTGAACAATAATATTACTTGAGCTTCTTTCCAATCGGTCAGGATGGAAGCTCCTTCGTTCAAGGTTTTTTGAAAAAATACTGTCAACGGGCCGGCCAGGATAGTTTCTAATTATTTGAAAAATCTAGGATGGAAGCCCTGTTCCACATGGCTTGTTGGGATTTAAAGCGACCAGGCGCTTGAGAACCTCTTCTTCGTGTATTAGTGAAAACATATGTTATGAAGGTTGGGTTAATGAATATGAATATTCAATAAGTTTACTGATGGATTGACAAATGATGGCGTCGACCAACACACTTAGCAGTAATTCCACAACGACGCTGACCAGAAAATGAAGCCAAGCCTAATGTTGCGCGCTAGCGCACTCTAAACCGAATTCACAATTTTGAATGACCCTATTAGAACGTAAAAGTGTTTTTGCTACTAACTGAATTTTTATTATTCAGAAATTAGACCAATATTGTCCATTCTTAAAAATTGATATTATTTTTTTATTTAATTTTCACAATTGCATAATAGTGAACATTAAAGTATACAGTTGAATTTTAGCTAATAAGGTTACATGAAGCCACAAAAAAGTGTTCAACGAGCTTGGGGATTTAAAAAAATGATTATTACGTTCACAAGAATGATAGTGCAAAGGACATAAATGATATATTATGGTTATTACGTATATAGTTCAAGTGCTTGTGTAATATTAGTATGTGCGTAGGTGCATAAATTCTATATAGTTCATTAGTTTGTACTGCAGTTGTGCGATGAACAGATCCCAAACAACATGAAGAAATTAATGCGCTCACGTTTTCTTTGTGTTTCCAAAGTTATTCTTGTAGCAAATGCTCAACCGATCAAGATCGAAAATATAATAATGGCTTTCCGTTGATGTAATTTGGTCCACACTTCCGATTCACAAGTTCTTCCAATCAACGTCATTGTATCAAATGTTATGAACTGTGTCACATCTTACAATTATTATTTGACTTGCGCTTCTACAATGTAACAAGCCGATGGCGTGTATGCTTTTGTTTGGACTAATAATATGAAAGGGACGGATTCATACGATTAATATTATAAAAACTGAGAACGGCACATATTGCCCAGGTGCGGGATTACCAAAACATCGCTTCGTACACGTAGCCTCTTGCAGGGATAGCTATTAACGGCAAATTTAAAGCCTTTGATTGGTCAGTTAGCCAAATGGTGTTGATAATCGCTTTACAAATGAGTTTTGCGTACGGAAGTTTTGATAATGCCAAAATTAGGGTGTACTTACGCAACACGTATCTTTTTGGACGTAGCTATAAAAAAATACGAAGTTTTGATGATCCGGTCCAGGGGCCATATTATCAAAATTTCGTAAGAACGCAAAATCGACTTATGAGTGGCGTAAGTGTTGACTTGATGACGTAACTCTAGAGGTGGTATTATCAAAACATTTGCGCGGGAAGATACGTAACGTAACTGTACGTCTGCTCGGAGATGTCGCAAGTGAAGTTCCGCACAAGTTTAGAGTGTCTGCTGAAGCGATAGGAAACTATTGATTTACTAGCAAGTAGCAATACCTTGACTTGTGATAGAATTTTGTCAGTAATCCGACAGCGCGGATTATACACGCATAGAATGATGGCTCTACTTGTGATGGCTCCACTACTTGATCGTGCAACATTTGCACGATCAAAATATTGGACTAATAATATGAAAATGACGGATTCATACGATTAATATTATAAAAACTGAGAACGGCACATATTGCCCAGGTGCGGGATTACCAAAACATCGCTTCGTACACGTAGCCTCTTGCAGGGATAGCTATTAACGGCAAATTTAAAGCTTCTGATTGGTCAGTTAGCCAAATGGTGTTGATAATCGCTTTACAAATGAGTTTTGCGTACGGAAGTTTTGATAATGCCAAAATTAGGGTGTACTTACGCAACACGTATCTTTTTGGACGTAGCTATAAAAAAATACGAAGTTTTGATGATCCGGTCCAGGGGCCATATTATCAAAATTTCGTAAGAACGCAAAATCGACTTATGAGTGGCGTAAGTGTTGACTTGATGACGTAACTCTAGAGGTGGTATTATCAAAACATTTGCGCGGGAAGATACGTAACGTAACTGTACGTCTGCTCGGAGATGTCGCAAGTGAAGTTCCGCACAAGTTTAGAGTGTCTGCTGAAGCGATAGGAAACTATTGATTTACTAGCAAGTAGCAATACCTTGACTTGTGATAGAATTTTGTCAGTAATCCGACAGCGCGGATTATACACGCATAGAATGATGGCTCTACTTGTGATGGCTCCACTACTTGATCGTGCAACATTTGCACGATCAAAATATGTGATCGTGCTAAACAGTGCTATTGGAAAAAAAATTCAATAGAGTTAATGCCAGAAACAAGGAGCAATACCGACTCAAAACCGACAGACAGCATTCGATAGTCGATACCATCGAAGGCATCGATTCCCGCAATAGAAGTTCACAGAATGTAAACAAATCCAAAGCCTCTGATTGGTCAGTTGGCCAGATGGTTTTGATAATACGCTTTTAGCGTATCTTATGATAATAAGATACGCTAAATACGATTTTGATAATACGCGCTTAGCGTAGTATTACGTTTTACGTACGAATGTTTTGATAATGCCAAAATAAGGGTGTACTTACGTAACACGTAACTTTCTTTCGGAAGTACAAAAAGTTACGAAGTTTTGATAATACGGCCCCAGGGCTGCCATCGATCACAACGTGCTGAATGTCGCGGAACGGTATTACGGAGCCCTAACGCGTCAGAGCTGCTGGCTTGTACTCAATCTGAGAAAACTTATCTAGGACGTCATAGTATACTTTGATATCCTTACCAAAAGTGAATTGCCAGCATTATTAGTTTATTAATAGCTTCGTTAACTTTTTCTAGTAAAGTCTATGTGCATGGCCTCTGTAGATACTTTTTCTTCTAGGCCTTATTGACATAGCCAAGCCAAATGTGTAGAAATATGCGAAACGCCCGTACTTAATAATCGTAGTTTCAATAATCAAGCGTTCTTAAATGTAGACTGCTTTCTACGTTGTAACGTAAACTATATGCCTACTGAAGTCTACTGCCAATCTAGAATCTCGTTTCACATGAAGTCTCAGTCGTGCCAGCACGCTTCAAAACCTGCATTACTTTAAAAAGTTCGTTGGTTACAAAGTTCTGGCAGACCCTAATAAAGCAAACAATAAGTTTTATATGGCCTCCTTCCTCTGTGTGATCTGTATATAATAACACTACATTTAAAAATATAACTCAGTACTCACTGCAGTGAGTGACAGAGAGCGCATTTTCTCGTCCGTCCGTCCGTGAAGTCACGGACGAGCATGACTAGCACAATAGCGCTTTTTTCCATAAATGAGAAAATGCGCTAAAAACCGTAACCTTGACCACTGCGGTATGTAAGCCGTACAGTACACCATCTTGACTGCACACCTTCCACACAACCAATCTCTTAAGCGAGTTAGAAACAAGTTGCTACGCTGAAGTAAATTCTATCTCTCAGCGGTATTCAAATATATATGAATAGTCTGCTGATTCTCAACGATAAGCCAAACTACTTGCATTTTTACTAATAAATTGTGAAAATCTCGAAAGAACTGAAGCAGAAAGGCGGATATGTTGTTCCAGCACACACCAGGCTAGTAAGGCTACACAATAAACTGCAAGTGCACCACGTTTCTGGTGCTCAGGAAGTCATTGAGAACCGAGCATGGTTCAGGCACACTCTGGGAACCAGCTGATGACGGTGGGTGGCGTTGGGTAGGGCTTTGACGCAGCTCCCATGAGCGGCGCCGTGGACTTGAAGATCCCTTTGGTCGTTCCGCTCGCTGTAACATAACATGAAACTGAAATATATCGCAGTCAGCCGCTTCTGCATTCATGAACAGCTTCAGCTGATGGATAACAAGCTAAAAACAGCGTTTTTTATTTATAACAATCCAGTTAATTACCCTCAGAGCTGCGGATCAGAAAACAAATCGTTGTAGTGAATGGTAAAGTGAGCCGCAAGAAGGAAGCCCCAATAATTTTTATTTTAAAATTGACAAACCAGCAAGAATCCAGCGTTCAATTTTGGCGCAGACATACATAGCTTTCTTTGTTACAAACTAAGTTGTCTACTCTTGGAACTCCGAACACTCAACTTAATGTGAGAAATGCATTGCTGACAAGAGCTTTTTGGAAAAAAAAATCATGACAAATCGCGAAGCAAATAACCTACATGTACAATAAGCAGAGCCTCATAAATGGGGATGTTTTCAATACTGATCATTAATGAAGTAATTTGTTACTCGTGTCACAAGCATACCAAAGTAAAAGGAAGCAAAAATCGAGCAAACACACTCGAGTCATATTTTGACAAGCGGAGCTAATTCTGTCGCAATTGGAAACTCGAAATCGCGAGAAGCAAGGGTGAAAAGCGGAGTACCACAGGGCTCGCTGCTATATAGGAACGATCCTATTCCTCATCCACACCGCCAAAATTGACTCGAAACTCACCCACGCATCTACATCGTCATTTGCGGACGACACAGGAGTGCTGATGAGGATCACAGAGAACATAGACTGTGAGAGGTGACAGGATGACTTGTCGGCAATCTACGATTGGGTCCTAGTGAATAATAAGCAATTCAACGGCACTAAATTCGAAGTAATGAGATACAGAGGCTTGTGCCAGAATTACTGAAACAGGCCGAAACACCTGGGACTGTACTCACTGGAGAGGAGAAGAGAGAGGTACATCATACTGTACGCTTGGAAGATGATAACCGGACTGGCTTCCAACTTTGAAAGTGAGACCTCCAAAATGGTGAAATATTACGACGAAAGGAGAGGGAGACAGTGCAGGATCCCCCAATTTAATAACCGTGCCGCGGTCGGAGTACAGACTCTTCAGGAGGGAACACTGTCCGTGGCAGGACCGAAACTGTTTAACGTCTTGCCAAAGGCGTTTAGAGGAGGGGAGTTTACCCTTGCGACATTCATGAGACGATTGGATAAGTGGTTGAAAAAAAATCCCGGATTGTCCAGTTATTGGAAACTACCCTCAGCAAGCGACAAGCAACAGTATCCTGCATCAGCTGGCCCAATGGAGGGCAAATAGAGGGAACACATTCAACGTTTTATCCGGGACCCGAGGGCGAGGGGACTTGCCTATCGACGACTTGGAGACGTAGAACGACGAAGGCGGCGCATCAGCGAGACCGTGGACCACGAAGTCCCAAACTCATCATAGGTCATGAGGGTCATAAGGTCATAATCAACTCTTCAGTTATTCAACTCATTCAGTGATTTAATGTGTATAAAAGACTCAATCTCACCAATGACAGGCTCTTCTGGTATACACTAACACTTGCAAATCACGATGTAGCTAGCCTTAGGCCTATAATGTCCCATAAGGTTATGGCGTTCTAAATTCTGAAATTTAATATTTCACAGTTACGTATTTATTTATAGACACATACGTGTGTTAGTGATTAATTTATAATTAAGAACCTAAGATTAATTTCTAGGTGAGAACAATTAATGGTCTGCCCACAGTTGAAATTGAAAATTCAGGCAGAGACATGATAACTACTGAAAAAGAGGATGGTGTGAATGTGCATTCATGGAAATTGGTGCCCTGCAATGAGGACATTCCTGTGTCCAAACTCACCATAGAAGACCCCAACAAACGACACGCAGTTCAGGAGGGAGCAGCGATCGAAGGCCTCGGAAATGGACAGGTATTCCGGTACACCAATGTCGAAATATTGCAAGTCCGTGTACCAATGAGCAACGAGTTTGCAGCCTGACATGCGGAATGAAAAGCCAAGAATCAGTCGTTTCCTATCGAATGATAACCTCAGTAATCCCGAACGACTTTTGAATATTTCATTAGTTTTCACTCCACTCATCAGTCCGACAGACATAGATCAGTGTTTTCTGTCAGAAGCTCCTAGAATCGACAATTTGTTCAATTCCTACCGTTGATTAGATGATATCTCCGACTGTTAAACTACCTTCAACCAATGTAAAGTAAAAATTTCAGCGTTACAGATTTCATTTGTATATCATCACGTCAATAATATAAAATACAATAGTATTTGCTGTGATCTGGCCCGATCCGAGTTCCATACATTGATCATTCTTGACAATTCAATGTAAAAGAGAGCTAAAAAATGAGCTTACTCTTGTTTTGATTGCGCTGATCAAGTAAGCTCGTAGCATTGGTGCAGACAAAGCCAGACATCGAGAAGTTAAGTGCCGCCTCTGGATGGAAGGGCACATTGGCTGGAGGCGAGTACTTCACGCACACTTTGGTGGGTGGGCATGGGCTGCTTGCACAAGGATTCTGTGGTGAATAATTGTTATCAATTGAATAATGTTAAAAATAGCGGAATCTGACAAGTTCACATGTTGACGGGCAGTGTTGAAACGTATATAGTCCTGCGCGCATGGTTCTAGCGGCTCTGTCGAAAAGCTTTGGCGAAGATGTTATCACACTTTTTCTTGTTCAATCTCATGGAATATTGTCATAACACGACGAAAATAAAAACAGTGAATAAAACGTTTTAAAACTAACGAATGACTTCACCTATGTGCCTACTGCTAATGGTCGCTTGCCACTGCACACAGAACGTAGAACTGATTATATGACAAGGCTAAATTGAGCAGAAACTATTCCCAGGCTGTTGAATATTATAAAAAACCTTGTTACTTTTGTTATCTTTCGATCTACTCTCAAGGATGAATTCCAGCTTTATGTAACAAGTTCGTAATCACGTCATTAAGCTCACCAGAAGCTGAGGGCTGATTTGCTGGGTGATGGCGTAGGAGGTCCAACCCGAAGCCGCCACGAGAGTCGTCAAGACACCCATCGGTTGACACGCGCCTCCTGCATAAGTCTCGACAATTCGGGGACAGTTGACAGAGATCCTCTAGATCGATTAATGCATCGAAAGCTCAAAACTCATTTGCGATACATCTTTTCATCTAGGTCCGTCAATTATACTCTGCATCAGAGCATTAATAAATGTATGCTGTTAATTCTACGGTCATTTTATATTTTACAGACTTGATGCTTACGGAACAAGTTTTTCAAACATGCATCAAATTTTAACGCTTAATTTGATGATTCATGATCGTGCCTGAGCTTAGCGATTTAAAACAAATGAAAGTAATCACTAATTATATAATTCCATAACAAACACTGAAGAGAAATGCGAACTTTGAAGAGGAGGCAATTAACAGCAGTTACTCCTGCTGTAATTTTCCGCATGAGAAACACCAGCTTCCGTATACAAGAGGCTTGCTTAATTGGCAGCATCACGCCGTATTGTATAGAATGGTAGTAAGTCCTATTATCACCCTGTTTACGCAAGAATTTCCTTTATTTTAAAAAAATTTCCTCCATTCATTTCTACGAACAGGAAAACTAGGAGCAATGATGAGACACGGCGCTGTCACTGTGACGGCTGCGGCGGTCACTCCCCACTAAACTCAATCCCAACACATAAACCTAAACCAATCTAACTATGAGCCATTCGCCTATTGTCACCTCTACTGTCTTTCCCATTTCCCCTTATCCATTCTGGTCACTCTTGCTTTTTCCCTAACTTTCCAAAAGCCACCGCACCACCACTTCCACCACCAGGGTTGGACGCAGGCTGCCCCCTTGAACTGAGTTGAAATTGACATTGGCGACACAAATGAATATTATAACGAGGCAGTCTGCGACGTACAGCCTAGACCACGATGAGAACTATACGACATGGGAATACGTATAGATTTCATTCTACGAAATTTATTGCAGTCACAGAAAGAGAAATGAGCGTTCTTAACAAACAGACAACTTATTTTCCGGTGGGCTTCTATGATATAAACGCCTATAATAGATTAATTATTTGTGGTTCTTGCGATAAACTTTAACATAAAAATTTACGCCAAAAAGTTCATAAGTTGAATATACGTCACCGTTGTAGCTGAAGCCGAGACAGCCGCCCATGTCACCGCACAGGCGGAGGCACAACAACGGGCTACCGACCGTCGTGTTCAGCAGGGGAGTCCCGGAGAAGCGCTTGTCACTCCCTGCAATTGTTTGCATTTATTTCAAAGCCTGACTCGCCTAGTGTAAGAAATAGTGTAATTTTAATATTTCAAAGCCTGACTCGGCTTCTAAATCAATTAGAAAAGTGTAATTTTGATAATTTGTCTATACGTCAGAATATAGGAACATAAATTGCTTTATGATTCAAGCGTTTTCATATTATCAGCATTTCCGCGATGAAAATATCCTATCACGTTTAACGTAGGTAAAGGTTAAGCTATTTATCCATTAAACTAAAATATTTTATCCCACGAACACCATTTAATGTACACAATTTATAGCAAATTCTCCAACAACTAATTAGATATATCGAAACAAATACGCCTGCACTATAGTTGAAGTTGCCTACTTAGTTTCCCCCAGTCCTAATTAAACCTTTTCAGTCCGTTATTAATTGATACGCAAATTGAAGTGCTTTGGACGGATAATATTTTTTCAATAACATTTTTGTCCTTTTGAGCGAATTTCGACATGAAAGTATGCCGAGTGCTCTTCCAATTAGTTGTTATTTTTTTACAGTTAATTAATTTTAGTTGATTGTAATGTTCCCAAGCCATGACGGTCCAAATGAAAAGTATAAATCTGTCACGTGTCGATCTGGCGTCTCATTATGTTCATTATAATTATATTATATGATTAGATCATATGTAATTGAGACTTAATATTCACTTGACCTGATAGAGATTGATGGAAAGGTAATAGACATTAGTCAGCGTTTGGGAAACATTACGTGATAGATCCCGCGATCAAGACTCTAGTTGTGGGCGGAAGCCGAGATCCTATAAAAGGGCGGGGAATGATTTGAGAATTTTTCAGAGAAAATTTGATTACTTAATAATGATAATCCAAGAAATTATGTCCATGCGCGTGTTTTGAAAACAGCTTCGATCGTGAATGTAACATACACGTGTTTCTACATTTAGATTGACGGCTGTTGCAAGTCTGTTTCTTGAGTCTCACCACGCATAGTGCCCGTTAGATGCTCACAAAAAGGCAAGTGTGCTACAAACTCACTGGCACGAGACATATTTAAAACTAAAATGTGTTGTTCGTTAGATGCTCGGGCCTAACCGATAAAGCGACTAATCGACAAGAAAGTTCAGTAATTAGAGTTGGAAGTGCCACTTAACTCTAAATTATAAGTACGGTAGTGTTCACTAAAGACTTTCGTTTGAATTTCAGGAGGAAGGCGAAAGTAAATATAGTTTTTTATATGTCCCGGAAGTATTGCAAATTAGCCACTGTCATGCCAAATTTCATGTCTAAATGGAGCCAGATCGCAACCTGTGTCCTTGATATATTCGCACACTCACTTTTCATTTACATTTAATGCAATTGCAACTAGGTTAATGAAACAATTTTTTAATTGCATTCCGTTTGAAACCATTATGTATTTGGTTACTACCTCAATTGGAAAAATACTATATGAAACTCTATTTACCATTCCATTTCATGGAAATGAGAGAAATTCTTTCTGTAGAATTTTCGTTCTTTTTTACATTCGGCGTTCAGCGTACAATTTTCGTTCTTTTTTTACGTTCAGCGCACAATTTTCGTTCTTTTCTACATTCAGCGTTCAGCGTTCAATTTTCATTCTTTTTTTACTTTCAGCGTACAATTTTCGTTCTTTTTTACATTCAGAGTTCAGCGTACAATATTCGTTCTTTTTTACATTCATCGTTTAATTTGTTTTTAGGGCTGTGACCGCCAGCCTAATTTTCAGACACTTGACATGCTCGGGAACTTTACACGTTAGTTTATTTAAGTTCTTTCTAATGGACCCAAACGCATGCGAGGCTAGTGCACCGTAGCACCAGAAAAAATTGAGCGATTCAGTTTAATTTGTTGAGTTGAAAATTTTTTTTTGTAACGCCAGCGTTGGACACGACTGTAATATTTTGGTGGTACAGTACGGTCGCTGCGTAGTAGAAATAAGTGTGTAACATCTTACTGTGACATATTAATGCACCAAGGTTCAAATATATTAATTTAAAATGTGTTCGTTGATTTTTTCGATAAATATTCTATTAGAGTACTCGTGCTTTTGTATTAGCGCGAGCGATTAAAATGTTGTCAAGTAAATTAATGAAATTGATTGTAAAATTCAACTGTCCTAAAGCCGTATTGAACCTATGTTATTGTGTCCGTCATTTTTGAACAACGTATCTTGATCTCCCCCAATTAAATTGCGGCGAGACGTGAAAAATGTTGCTGCGCTGGCATGGGCCTTGAGTACGGTTGCAATCGAAATGGCTCTTTACTTACAAAGTCATGAGGTAAATTAACGGATCATCTTACGATTTTAGATCTCCCCATTTCCGCACCACAGCGCAAGTGTCGCCTTTCGTTATTTAGCACTAAAATTTAAGGTGCGCTCTTCATTCTGAAATTGTTCCCTTTTTCTGATGCCTAATCATTGATGTTGTGAACAGTCAAACGTTCTTGTGTTAATTTATTTTTTTTTGTTCGGTAAGTACTGAAATAAAAACTTTGCACTAACGGAATAACTTGAGTCTTTTTATTTCAGTACATATAAAACTAAATGTTTCATCAAAATGCATTCGTTGTTGAAGCCTTGTCAGTCAATCTCTATGGCATGTTTAGTAATGGTCATGCGTTTCAGGCTATATCAATGTAATGTTTCTAGTACGATTAGCAATATACTGATCGAATATTAGGTAAAATCTCGCACTTTAACTTGAGATGTGAAGAAAACTGTAAGTATATCCAATACTTTTGCGTGTCACTGTAAGTATATAATTGGTCGAACTTGGCAGTGACCGATGCGTGCGTGAGGTGGCAAACTTTCTGCCTTAATGTTCGCTTATTAGCTTCGATTTATTGATGTTGTATGTAGCAAAAATGATGTACTTTTCACCACTGAATTTACTTTTATATTTTATTTCGTATTGTTCCAAATTAGTAACGTTAAGATCGTTCATTCGTAGATCCGTTCGTACTTTTTTCGACATAGTTGGTACAATCGAATTACACTTTGGAAACGGGCGTTTTCAGGAGATTCTATTTTTCTTCTATATTATTCTAATTGCCTCAATATATTTCTATTAAAAGCTTAATGGAAGTTAGAGAATCAGTCTGCTCTCTGTGGGCGTGGCGACACTGCACAGTTCATTTGGTAGTACTATTGTAACAAATAACGCTCCCGAGCTCCTCTCTCCATTTTTTTGGTTATTTTTTTTACACTGCTACGATTTTGATCCAAATAGGTTTCATTTAAGTTATCAACATTAACGTTGACTGCGAAATGTCTCGTGAATTTAAGTCAATATATCATGTTATTGCTTTATTGTGTATGGTTGTCCTTGGAAGATGAAATTTAACCGATTAACCGCAGACGAGTTAAAATTTTGTGTGCGTGTATGCCCTGTTAAATGCATCAAATCAAAATTAAATATCTTGGATATGAAGTATAAAACGCTGAGTCAATTTCGATATTGCTCGCAGAAAACATATTTTAAATGAGTTTAGATTCAAGTAAAAATGTCGTGCAATTGTCGAAAGTATGAGTAACGTTTTGATCGAACAATTTATTTATTGATAACAATATATTTGTTTTCAATAACAAGATTCGGGATAACGGTACTCTAAAATTGCAGTGACTAGAATTATAACGCCATGCTAACCTGACAGTTGTTAAAGCCGAAACCATTTCGCGCTGCTACACGAGATATATGTGGCCCACGCACACAGGGCATCTCTCACAAACAAAAGGTTATTATTCTGTTTCAGCATGAGATGTGCTGACTCTCTCTACTGCAAGCGGCAACCACCGTCAGAAAAGAGCGCAAACACATTTTTCTTAATAATAGAAGCTAACAAGACAAATTTTTCAGTTATGGTTGACTCAGTCAATCAGAGAGACAATAGTTCTTAACTTTGCACTTGGCGAACAGGCAACGGTATTAAAAGCAAGAGCGTATTGGTCATTTTACTAGAATGACTTTAAAAAATATAACTCAGTACTCACTGCAGTGAGTGACAGAAAGCGCATTTTCTCGTCTACGAAAACTTGAGGTCACGGACGGACGGACAGACGGACGGACAGACAGACAGACAGACGGACATGGCGAGCACAATAGTTCATTTTTTCCATAAATGAGAAAATGCGCTAGAAATACTACGCTATAACTAACATTAAGTGAGTTGAAGAGGCGTTCAAAAATGTATGTTATTCCTGCTGATGCATTTCAAGCAAAAGTAGTTTAATATGACGTTAATTTATACCGTTGCGCATTGTATAAGTAAGGGAAAATCTGTATTCAATACCTGTATTTGACCTAGTGTCCGAGTACCTTTTATCTGTTCTCTACTGACCATGCAATGACAACCTTGGCCTTGCTGCTTGCGTGTTAACTTGGTGTTGGTGTTTGTCGTACCTCAGCAGTCATAGCTTCTTCCATCGTTCAAGCATAAAGACGTTTGGCTCAAACCTCTTCTCGCATCTAACGCCTCAGTCATATTTTGATATTTATTATTAAAGCGTAATGAAAACGTGGAAGTAATGCGATCAATTGATCTGAGTGTTCGAATTCTGGTTGAGGAAATCTTCTTTAGCTTTGCGTTGGTTCATGCTAAGACTGCGTGTTAATATACATTTGAAGTCATTAAATTAATATTACTTTCCATCACTCGTATTGAGAGGGACTCGTACACATTTTAATATAACGTTAATTTATACAGTTGCGCATTGTATAAGTAAGGGAAAATCTGTATTCAATACCTGAATTTGACCTAGTGTCCGAGTACCTTTTATCTGTTCTCTACTGACCATGCAATGAAAACCTTGGCCTTGCTGCTTGCGTGTTAACTTGGTGTTGGTGTTTGTCGTACCTCAGCAGTCATAGCTTCTTCCATCGTTCAAGCATAAAGACGTTTGGCTCAAACCTCTTCTCGCATCTAACGCGTCAGTCATATTTTGATATTTATTATTAAAGCGTAATGAAAACGTAGAAGTAGTGCGATCAATTGATCTGAGTGTTCTAATTCTGGTTGAGGAAATCTTCTTTATCCATGCGTTGGTTCATACTGAGACTGCGTGTTAACATTTGGAGTCATTAAATTAATATTACCTTCCATTACTCGTATTGAGAGGGACTAGTACACATTTCACGCAAGATCTCGAATTCGGGATACGAATCATTTTTTCACCATTAAAAGGTCAGTACGAAAGAGCGCACAAATTGTGCTCATCATTAAGGACAGATGATTCTGCGTTTCTTTAATAAGACGAATGATAGTATGGAATAATTGACAAAAACAGGCACCAAATGATGCGCTTATTAATTTTCTGCGCTTTATGTGATAATAAATTCATGCAAGACGGTTTGAATCAAGTGGAGGGTCACAAAAAAATTGATCGATCTTTTTGAAACCTCATTCACATCTGTAAAACACGACAACAGGCACTCTTTGTTTCCTGCTAATTTTTCGGGAAAATGAAGGAAGGTGTGAAATTTAAACAATAACGGAATGCCTCCTCTTTTAATTAACGCGCTAGATTTTTTAGTGGATTCTATCATTTTTCCCCTTCCTCCCAATTTTCTGTAGTTTATACAATTAATATATAATCTTAACACTAAATAAGTCAAGAAAAGGGCGTCTAACGTTTTCAGATATTTGCCTAAAGATTCGAGCGATATGTCTCTCGATGTTGTAGCTCGTGATTTAAAGGAGAAAATGACGTTTTTCGATGGTGTCAAATGTAAATTTTAATTGTTGGGGGGAGGCGAAAATGAACTGAAACGGGCTAAAAGAGGTAAAGTGTAAAAGAGAAAAAAATTTTGTATGATACTGTATCTCAGGCTTTCCCGTCGCCATTACTCGTATTGAGGGTACCATTATACGCCGCATGACTTATTGCTGTCCAGTTTGACACGAATATTTATCTATAAATACAAACCTCAAGCAAAAAATACAGCACACAAATACATACGCTTTACTGCGTTAAACGCGTCTTTTTCGCAGCTACAGAATGAAATCTGAAAACTGAGTAGCAGTTTATTCTTATTCCGGGAATAAACCTTCCACTTAAACTAGCATTTTGCTTAGAAACAAGAAATTTGTTCGCTGAATGCAGCCTCATGCACTTATTATAGGAGCCCTGATAGGATAGGATAGGGTAGGAGCCCTGATACTGTCTCCATTTATCATTGCCCTTGCCCACAGTCAGACATTCGCACATTGTTTTAATTCCTGGACTCGCTTATTCTGATTAATACTTTTCAGACTTCGTGGCACATTCGCTTCAAGAATCAGTCCAATTTTTATTCAATTTAATTTAATTCTAGTTAACAAAACGTATGTGCAGTGATGCGGTAACATAGCTACCTCTAGCTTTATGATGCTATCCTGTTAGGGTACGTTGTATTGATGCTTCATCAGTAACTTGGTTGAAAGAAATGATGTCTTTACTTCGAAGATAAAGTCACCATATTATTAAACTTTGGACTAAATGCACTCGTGTCAAAATTAAGTGGACTGTTGATTGATAATAATAATAATAGAAAATTTTACACTGCTGAACAATTTGAAGCCTGAAATTGACTGAAAGTAAATTTGTCATTATGGGCTTGATATTAAAGTGAAAGTAGTTCATGATGTCACTAGGACAGAAGTTCATTGCTTTCGTTGGTATCAATTAGTATTCCGTATTCGTACACTACCTGAGTTCGTATAATCTTTGCCCTAATCTTATAAATGAATGACTTACTTAGCAAGAACGCGTACAAGAACGTGCATGAAAGTTTTATCTTTTTTGCTTGCTATACTAAAAAAAAGTTTATTTAAAAGTGATACCTTCTTTCAGTTACACCGGCGCTTTTTACAATACAAGGTTCTTGTCATATTTACTGCACTTCGTGTTCGAGTTTGATTAATTTGGTTATCTCGTCGGTTATGTCGTAAAATCTAAATCTGATGGAACAAAAAACAATGTGCGGTTCATTATAATCAATGCAATTTACCATTGTTTATTGTTGTATGCTGTCAATCTCCGAATGACCCGTCAGGACGATATGGAAGATTCGCAATCTTAGCCAAACATGTTAGGTATTTCTTTGTCGAATAAACGTTTGGATGTGTGTTGAAATGTAAACGAGTCCCAGATCCGTAAGTTTCTTGACGGGGCCGGTAAAACGGCAGCCTAATTAAGTCTATCGATAAATGGTTTAGTACCAAACTGAAAAAATGTTGAATTACCCGGTAACTTGATTGACGAATCTGGCTCTAAACCAGGCGTATCATGTCGAAATTTTTTATTCAAATTTCAGCTTTCACGCTAAATTTTATTCATCCTGGCCGGATCTTCTCGAGGACGAATGTTAATGTTTTGGTATTAATATGAAGGTATTTTTACAGGTACAGGTGACAGAGCTGTAGTCAACTGCACCTTCATCTGGTGTTGACGAAGGCACTAGAGGTGACGAAGAGTGACGGCGCTTACGGCCTTCACCGGTCCTTACGTATCGTAGTCAAACACCCTAGGCCACTCCGGCATCTTCCTGCCGCCCCCTTCTCCAAGAACAGTCTGCTCGATCAGGGATGTCGGCAACGAACACCAAAACTCTGCTAGTTCATAGTTCCCAGAGGGGCTACGATAACCCCGCCGCAGATCTTGCTGAGACTCCTCCTTCCTCCAAGTCAAAGTCTGGTGTTCAAAGTCCGGACAAATGTTCGGGTAATTATGGAGACATTTGCGCAATGTTAGCTAACATTTAGCTATTTAGCTAAATGTTGCCCAGCTCATCTGAGGCTTTCACTGCTTTGGCATGTGCTTCGCTACCCGGATCTCGCTTTTCAGGTTTTTCTCATTATTGCACAATTTTTATTTTAACTAAACTCTGCTATACCTCCCTTACCTGCAAATATTTCCAGTCCACTTGTTCGCAAACTCCAGTTTTTGCCAGTTATTTTCTTTTCCTATCTCATTCAGCTGGGCTCTCATTTATAGTTAAAGTTGTTCTAACATAAATAAGATAAGCAACAATACAAGCATTAATAATTAGCAACCTGGCTGCTTTGAAACAGGTGCATCGGGTGGCGTATTCCCCAAGACTCCTCTTTACCGCCCCTCTAACTTTCTTAGTAAGATTTTTTTAATTTCAAACTATCAAGAATCAATATGAACTGCCTTGATTATTTCATGATATATCGCGATCATGCTATCAATTTAACCACATTGACAGAAATAATGGATTTTTTTTTCGCCTGGAAAAAAAGACTTCACTCACGCGCAAGAGTAAGCTATAACTTTACAAGCTCATAGTAAAGCTTTTTTAATCTTGAATTTAACCTAATAATCCCAATGAACTATTTCAGACATCTTTCCGTCCAACCACTTTCATAGATGAATTCCCAAAATTAGTGAACCGTAATAAATTCGATATTGAAAAAAGAACTCAACAATAGCATACGAACGAAGATTGAAGATGGAATTGCCATAAAAAATAATGATATTACAATTGTAGATCAGTGGAGTTACATATAATTCAGGCTAAGATTAGAAGTGTGTTGTTTGCAGCAGTTGCCTTCGTCGAAAAGGAGCGTCCTTTGGAGCTGCCAAGTGACGTAAAATATTCGTGTGACAAGTCTTCTGCTGAGAGTTGCGACAACGCGGACAGCGGTGAGCGTCCAAGAAATGCTTTCGATATATAATGAGTAAATTATATTGTATTATATTGTAATGAAGCCTCTATACTTCATCCGGGTTCGTTACGCGGATAATTTTAAACATCTGCTAACAAAGCTAATTTTTATTGAACTAGAACAAACAGTAAATTACACAGTTATATAAATGAAGATACTGGACAATCTAGATGCCATGCCCAATAAAACAAGTCGCAATGGGTGTAACGAGGTTGTGGCACTTCCCAGCTTCTAAGAGCCCACTGGGAACTATCCAGAGAAGATCCTGGATTGCTCGGTCCCGAAGACAGCCCGCTCCAGACCCGCAACCCTACATTGAAGATAAATACCTACATTCAAGCAGACTACTTACTTTGGCACATACATAACTGAATAAACAAAGTGTTATCATTTTATATCCAAATAGTATGCCACAGGAATAGCAAATTTATTGTAACCATTAACTGGATCTAGTAAAGCAGCTCACCAATAGAGGCCGATTAAGTTCACTGGGAACACAGCAGAAAAGTGGCGCATTCAGTCAGGCCTAGAAATGGGTTGTTCACGGGAGGACTGCTTCGCAACGACTGGGCACAGTTTTGTATCTCGTGAGAATTATTACGAGTTGTTGCCATATAAGATAAAACTTACAACCTTACATATATTATATTATATCATAATATATTACATTATATTATTTTATGATAATGTAATATATTAATATTCTTGTCTGCAGTTGAGGGCTGTAGAAAAACAATCCTGAGATGGCTAAGGAATTTTGGATCGCGTCTGAAAACGTGCCTCTACCTCACACCTGCCACGGAGAATTTCCAACCTCCCACTGCGGGTGACCGCGACAAGCATGTCATCACCTCGCCCGCATGCAGCAAGGTGGGAAACATCTCAGTTGTCTTCATAATATATCACTAGCAGTTTTATTATATGAGCGTTACTTGTTGCAGAGTGAGTGATAATATTACTCGTTAACAAATTACTGACATGGAGCAGTAGCATTACTGTCATAGCAGACAGGTAGATAACTTTGGAGGTAGACGTAGTGCAACGTACTTATTAATGATCTTACTGTTACTGGTCTTTAATAATATGACGGAAGTGTCAAATTGGTTAGGAGAAGCCTGTAGCATCCATATTACTGCTGATGCTGCTCTAATGACAGTGGGACCGATGTGTTGTTCGGTGGGCGTCGTGCTGACGTACGCATCAATCATCCTGCTGACGCTGGACTGTTATAAAATTATTAATGTATTTGCTGGTGTGAGAAAGACAGTAGTACAGATGTCAAAGCTGACGATATTTTACGACAATATGATGGACGTGTCGTCAGGTGGGCTTGTTGCTGACGTACGTAGCCCTGCTGCTGCTGACGTGGGGGGCGCTGTACGCCATCACTGGGGACGCCGCGGCCCCGGGCGGCAACCTCTTCAGCCTCCTCGTCGTCTTCGTCTGCTCCGTGATGGGCGGCAAAGTTTCTCAGGTTAAGATCTTGGTGACGCTGTAGAAAACCAAAATTTTTATCGGATTTCGATAAATCGTTGCCTGTCTAAACGTTAGAATTTTTTACTTAGCATCTAAAATGTGAGGGGAATTTTGATCTCAAATGTTCAACATACATCCTCCCATCAATTCTTCGCCAGAAATTAACAAATTATCTAGAAATTTTCCAAGACTCAGTGCAAGCATTTTGGTCAAATATATTGTGACTTGTGTTGAAATGTCCTTCTAATACGCTCAAAATCGAGAGACACGGGTGCAGTTTCACCATTATTAAATTGGTCGCAGACAGTTAAACATAATAAGTTTTTCTTTTGGCTTTTACTATTTCGAGTTTCCAAGCTTACTTCTTCGTGCTCTACAATAATTTGTATGGGGGAATACTGTTTATGATTAACGTAAAATTTGCCCAGGCGTGCGGGCTGCCTCCGCTGCTCGGCATGCTGCTGGTGGGCATGGCGCTGCGGAGCGTCGCGATCGTAGGCGACAGTGTCGACCCCAACTGGTCGTCCTCAATCAGGTTATGCAATTTCGGTTATGTCGTCAATTTCTCATCTTAAGCTACGGTAGAACCGTCCACTTAGTCAGCCGTTAAATTCGTTCTTACCATATGTATATATTTTATTTTCGAAAAAATTGGAATTTTTTAATGCATAACAGATTTTTTTTCGTGATGAAATTCATTACTGCGAGCATATCGCTTGATTATGCTTTTTGTAAAGTGCTGACCAGAAGTATTAGTATAGTATAGTATCTTCGGCATTGAAGAAAAGGCCTGGATAGGTATGTTGCCGATTCTTGTACTTTTCTTGACTAGACTGGCCTTTTGATCAATTTTTTTCGACGGACGGCAGATTTAAAATCGCTTCTAGATTTCAGTTGTTATCATGTCAGGCGTCTTTCTGATGACATAGAAATGGCAACACGAACTGGTTGTAGTTCATTGGATCGGATTACATATGGGCTAGTCAATTTTCGTGACATTTGACGTGCATGCCAGGTCTTCAGGCATCAAAATTACATTCGCCATGCATATCTCAGGAACATAGCGCTGGTAGTGATCCTGCTTCGGGCCGGTCTGGGCCTGGACCCTAAAGCCCTCAAGGCCATGTCGCTCGTGGTCTTCAGACTCGCCTTCGTACCCTGTCTCGTCGAGACCNAATCAATGTTGGACTCTGGTGTGAAACTAGAACAACTGAAGAGATGACGAATTAATAATAATTGATTTATAATGGTAATTGAACGGTGGAGTTTTTGTGTTGTGTAGCAGCACCTGCGTTATTATTAAATGGACTTTCATAGAGGCTGAGAGAGAACAGGGAAGAAGCTAATATGGTTTAATGTGTGATGGGTCTCAAGAGAATTGTGGAGAACTTGGTGAAGAACTTTGAAGCATGTGAGAAAGAAAAACAGGTGAGGGACATGATTTTATGGTCGAGAAGAATTAGATTGATGGCACAAGGTGTGAGTGAACATGTGATGACTAGAACCAATCAATAATTATGGCTCCGACGATGGTTCATGGAAACATATATATTGAGAGCGCATAGAATGTGAGAAAAAGAAGAATAGCAATATTTGAGTCTCGGTCGGTGCAGTGTGAACGAAACCAATGAAATATGAAGCTTCCCAACGAGACACCGATATTTTAGTTTCTGCACTATACAACTATATAAATTTGTTCGCATCAAAATCATCCACACTGACTTGAGTATACTCTTCGTTTCTGGTTCAGAAGAAGGGGAGGGAGAAATTATTCAATTATACATTTTTGGTGTTTAAAAATTGAAAGATTGACTTACATACTGTAGGTACAAAAAATATATAAACAAAATAAACTTGAAAATCTTCCGAATATGTTTCAGGATAAATGCAAATCTTTTATTGATGATTTAGGAATTTTCACCAGCCCATGGTGAATTTTAATATTTTTAAATAAGACCGAGCTACTTTGCAGATGTCAAACACAAAGAGTCTGGTAAAAGTGTCTTACAGTTACTATATGTCAAAATTGTAATAAAGACTTAACTCTTTCAATATGGTTATTTCTCGCAGAGTGTCGTTTTATCAAGCTTTCTATGCTGAACAGATTAAGTTTTGGTAATTTTCCTTTAAGTTTAATTTATTCTTGATCACTGTGTGCAGATTCTGAGTCTGGAGCTGGACACCATAGGGCTGGGAGTGGCGACGCTGTGCATCAGCCTGACTTGTCGCGTGGTGACGACCTTCTTCGTGGTGCTCGGCAGCGGCCTGAACATCAGGGAGCGATTCTTCGTCGTCCTCGCCTGGCTACCGAAAGCTACTGTTCAGGTTCTTGTTCTAGAACACATTAAATTTATAGACTACAAACAAGATCACAATACATTTTTAGATGTGCGAATTTCATGAAATTATTGCATCGATTATCAAATAGGATGCATTTATTGGTCGTCCGTGCTGCATAATTGAGCAGAACTTCCAGTTGCTGGTCTCATGTGAGGTGTAATATATTATTTGAGTGCCTTCGTGTAGTATATCAACTTTGATGGCCTCCATCGGTGTCTCAAACTTACTTTGCAGTTCTTGGAATATGTAAGAAGCGCGCGTCTCACCCTATGAGAAAGTTAAAAGGCTAGGGAAATTTGATAAATGATTCTCGTGGTGCAAAATTTAGGCACTGCTGTTATGCCGGGTTCTTTGTGCGCACCATTTGCTGACGTAATCGTGTTGCGAAACTTTATCTTAACTGATTTGGATGCCAGGTATCTACTAATCAGTCTTATGATAATAGATATAGGATCATTTATTTTTATAGATATAGGATCATTGATGGCAGAGTATCATGAGTATCATAATAGTAGCAGAGAAGTGCGGGTTCGATCCCAGAGCTCTGTGCGCCAGTTACAGGTCAGAATCGGTGAGGATCGAGGTCGGGCAATTGTGCAAGACAAAATTGGAGCAGAGAGTTGCGCGTTCGAGACCGCAACCTGCTGTGAATGCTCTGCTATGTTAAGAATCTGCAACAGGCCTACGGTCTAATAAACGCATAAAATCATATGAACCACTATATATCCCAAACGCGTAGGGCTAGTCCCCTAGACTTTTTGCAGTCACCGATTACGATTGAAGTAATGCCGAGAAAACCGGGTCTTGCGTCGAGCAGCTGTTACGCAATTGGCCTCAGGCTGCTTTCTGTGGGGATTGAAGAGTATCCAGTGAAAAAAGCTGGCCACCAGAAAACGCTTCTGCTACGGGAAAATCATATTTGCTGTATTGATCGGGTTTGAATAATTACACTAGTAAGAGTAGATATGTACATGCCGAACTATTATCAGTGAGGGCAGCTGCTAAGTTTCTTTTGCAACGATGAGCCGTTAAAGGCGCTATCAGAGCTCGACGTTGCATGAGCACGACGCTTTAACTGGTGCAATTAAACGAATCTCAATGAGCTAGTAGCATTGAAGGGGGCTAAATTTTGGCCGCGCTGTTAGTTATAAGTCGCCGCACTTCTCCGATTGTGACTAAAGCTAAGTAGTATTGAAACGCATTTTTTTCCGATGCACGGAACATTAGTCAGTAGCTGGGCTCCGATCTTTACATGCACGATTCATTCACAATGTGAATTATTGCTGATTTGTTAAACTGTATTGAAGTATTTTTGCTTTTCTAAGTTCCTCACCTGATCTTTGTTGTACTGTGAGCATTTTGATGCGATGTCACGAACTATCCTCTACTCTGATTCGAGTTAACTCCACTTCTCGCCTGGTGAAATACATCTTTGAGCCTCTTAAAATTTTTACCCTGTTCGTCACACTTGTATGTTTAGGGCACGACGACAGAAACTCGGAATAATGTACATGTAGCATATTTGTCCCGCTATTGCATCACATCACTCGGGTATTTCATTTCTAATATTAGATTAGAAGGCAATTTTTAGACTTTTGTGCACAATGGAACATGAGTCGGGTAAAATTTCGCTGTATTTTTCAGGCTGAAACTTTGATATCGAGGTACCTTGATTTTTTATAAAAATTAATAGCCGAGCTTCAGGCAATTTTTCCACTTATTGATTGCTAGCAATTCTTAGTCCCGAATCATATTTCTAAACAGTATGTGATTCTCTGTGTTATATTCCCCAAGGCTGCAGTAGGCTCAACAGCGCTGGACTACGCCGTGCGTATTGGGGCTGGTGTACATGAGATCGCCCTTGCAAAGCAGGTGCTTTCTCTAATATCGTCAGGACCAAATGTCAGAAATTATTTGCTCTTCTAATTAATTAATATTTCTGTCAGAAATTATTTGCTCTTCTAATTAATAGATTTAATAATCTAAAATTTCATGGTGTATGCAATTAGAGAACGCGAGTGTTCCAACTTGTAGGGTCGTACAATATTAATACCATCCGAAGGCCTCCATATATATTTGATTACTTGGATAATCAGAGCTGGGCAACGCTACTTGGAAATGTAGCGGCGCTACCGCTACATGCTGTAAAATGTAAATGTAGCGGGCGCTACCGCTACACACACTAGATTGTAGCGGGCGCTACCGCTACCGCTACAGTAAAATGTAGCGCCGCTACATTTGCCGCTACAATGGCCAAAATTATTGGAAATCTCTAAATATTTATTGTTTTGCTATTGGGACTTACTCATAAACATTTAATGATAATAAAACATTTTCAAAACATATCAATGCATCTTTATTGCAATTAACCTAACCGAAATGGTACGGGTTAGATACAGTAAATAAAAGTTAGTTATTCTAATGTTTTACCTTTTCTACATGGATGTCTACTTTAATCTACCAATCTCAAAAATTATCCACATATACACATAAAAAAATCAGTCTTTTATTCGTATATATATGTGGATAATTTTTGAGGTTGGTAGATTAAAGTATATATAGACATCCATGTAGGGAAGCAGAAACATAAAAATAACTGTGTAAAAATAACTGTAAGCAAACTGAAGTTAGGTGGCTGATGTCCGTGATGTGGTCGTGGACATGTGGTGGCAGCTGGCACGGAACAAGAAGGGGGCAGCCGTAGGCCACAAATTTAACTCTTAAATAAGCCCTGGAGCCAACGCCTAGCCTCACCATGCATTAACTTTACTCAGCCTCAGATATCAGCCGCAAACTACGCTTGAACTCCGTAATCCAGACAAGCGACACACTGCCGAAAGATAATAGCGCCGTAGGTCTTCAGCCAATGCTTAAGCATGCTCGCTCATAAACAGGCAGTTCCCAACCCGGCTGTACCTACTCTGGCCTAACCTCTTCTGGCCTAACCTTTTCACGCTGTCCCGACTCACATCCTTCTTGCAGCCAATGACTGACTTTACCAGTACACTTGGACCGCCTTTCTAATTTCTTACAGCCAATGAGGTTAGGTTAGGTCAACTCAGGTTTGTTTTGGGTGGAGAAAGGTTGCAGCTCGTATATGTTAGGCGTGAAGAGTTTAGGCCAGATAAGGTTTGGCCAGATGGAGTATGGCCATGTTTACCTTCGGCAAGCTTATTTTGTGGCTGTGGACATCCGGCGCTATTGCTTTGAGCACTTGAATTCATAGGCCGTTATGCGCTCTAGCATTCTTACCTATGGAAAGGAATATGAACTAAGTTTGAGGTATGGCAAAGCTGGCCTCCGGCATGCGCCCCAACAAGAACACGTGGTAACTGGTAATAACTCAACAAGTAACAACTAACATGTTGACACTAGTAACAGGCTGAGGTTGACAACATTACACCGAAATCTTTCGTACAGTTCTTACAATTACAATAAATTACAATTCTGTAATTTATATTATGTTTGTATCATGCTGGTTTTTAAATAATATTTAATACTATTAAGTAAAATTTAAATACTTTATCTATGAATGTAGCGGTAGCGCTGTAGCGGCAAAACCTCGTATCTCTACTTAAATATGTAGCGGGCGCTACCGCTACTGCTACAATTGCTTAAATGTGGTGCCGCTACCGCTACCGCTACTGAAAATGTAGCGGCCGCTACATGTAGCTCGCTACTGCCCACCTCTGTGGATAATTGATAATTATAATTATCAGCCAAGGTGGGAGGTTTCCGTGACGAATGGCTGCATATGATCAATCGATATGATAATGGTAACGAAATCCGCAATTATCACATATAAACTAATTGATGTAGGTTATGTTTCCTAGCGTATGACAATCGGAAGTTAAAATTTCGGTACATTGAACAAGTTAGCACGTTTACTGTATTGCAGGTGCTGACCATCTTTACAGCAGGTATCAAAGTATCGGATAATGTAGTTTCGTCGTCATTCGAATCTCAAACAAGTTGTGGTGTAAGTTCATTAACTACCATCACGGTGCTGCAGGTGCTGACCATCGCGGTGCTGGTGATCTTAATCACGGCGCCCATCGGGGCCATCGTCATCATGACCTCCGCCCCCAGACTCCTGCAGCGGCCCGGTCAACTTCCGACAGCTGACGCCGTGTAAAATCTATCTTTAGTTATAAAGATTCTCTTGGTATTTCAACCTAAATTCTTCTTTTATTGTTGTTAACTCTAACTTGGTGTAACTTTGTGTGGCCCAGATTCTTTCTTATCTTTATGATTAACATAAAGCTTGTGTTCCACGGTTCTTAAATAAATCGTGTTTTTGGTTTATTGGTTACGTAAAAGACGTTCCGATGCTATTTTGAAATGAATTCTCAAAATTGGTTTCTTAAAATGTAGTAATTTTTAAATTATCAGGACATTGGCTGTTTTGTGATCAATTTTAGCGTGAAATTGATTGTTTTTGTTACGGCTCGAATGCTTCTATTCCGATATATGGGACACCATCACATGAAATTTATCTCAGCGGCGCAGGTTCATTTTTGAAGGAAACTTGCAATTGATGCAAAATATTAAATTTTTAATTATTCTACTAATATTTTTGCCAGCGTACGTATTATAATTATACTAATGCTCTAGTCTTATTACCAAAATTCAATGAATTGTCTATTATGATTGATCAAAAATGGATTGGATTTTGCGAGGCAATTGAGAAAGCGATATTTATTATTATTCTAGTGGTAGCACCGTCAAGTCAGCACCCATCGTTCACTCGGCGCACTAATCCAAGAAACTCGCCGTTTACCATGGAGATATGAATTTATTTAAACACTAATTCTGTGGATCTTAAAAAATTTTAGACCAAATATCGCCAAATGAGATTTATTTTTATTGATCATAATTATTGAACAACCATCAGCAGGATTATTATAGGTGCGATAGGTGCATCAAAACCTCGTACATGCTTGAACGCAGCGAGTATATAACTCAATTTATTCGTGAAATTAAAATTAATTGTTTTACAATCAAGTTTTATTATACCCATCATATGTAAAAAGTTCCAGATTAATGTTAAACTTGGATGAAACGAAACAGCTGCCTCATTAAAAAAAGTTAAACTAGTTTACCTACGAAGCAATTTGTGAAAAAACTATGGAAGTAACTGTGGTAAAATCGAAAAACAAATTTTATTTTTTTTTTTTATTGAAGAAAAGTGGTTACCCCGATGGCTCGAGGAAAAGCTCCACATTAAATTAAAAAAAAATTATATATAATTATATAATTTTTTTATAATTATTATAAAAAATTGTATAATTTATATAATTTTTTATATAATTATATAGAAATTTGCTCAACTGCATGAGGGGACAGTTTCGGAGAAGGTCCCCGTCAGTCGTCATGACACGTTAACATGTCGGCATGGACCTAATCCGTCCTGATCATATCAGGATGCAGCTAGCCACTACAATTCTCTGCTCAATTTTTCGTTCAGATTGTTGTTCAAAACATAAGACAGCGAAAATCCCAATTCGAAAATTAAAAATTAATTCAGAAGCTCATTGGAATTACAAGCACTCCTGATGGCAATCTATTGCAATCAATTAAATAAAATTTTGATGCAGGTTCTCAACCATCATCTATTTTTAAATAATTTGAGCTTGTGTATAATAAGCATTATGCGTGGACGATGAGAGAATAATTTAATCGACCAATTGAGAGCAACCGTGGAATACATGAAATCAATAATTATTCTTAATTAGTTCTTCTATGACAGCACCGTTTTGGATATTCATCCTTGTATAATTACACTTATGCTTTCAATGTACGAAAAAGCTTGTTAAGATCAAGCTTTTGTGAACCTGGATTTTTAGATTTACATTTAACATTAATAAAAGTAAGTACACTGTAAGAAAACTAACCGTTAACGGTATTACCGGCGTTTCAGCGGCCGGTCGGCACGTGAAAAGAAACACCGTGTCGCCGTTTGTATTCTAATTTAACACTAGAAGTCCGTAAAACATCTGATAAAAACGGCGAAACAGTTTATTTTTACGGAGCGACCGGCCACTAGAACGCCGGTGGGACCGTTTTTTCACTGTTTTTTTCTAACAGTGTAATTTAGAAAGTAATCACAGTTCAGCCTAAATACAGAATCTGCTAATCTGAGGTGCCAAGTTCGCACTATTGTACCTCCAATTGTTTCAGATTAGATTGTGCTACTCTGAACCACGAATCAACTAGTAAATCAGTACCATAAATATTTAGCTTAGTCCGAAGATCAACCTGGGAGCGTTTAGCTTGGCAAAACATTCGTCAGGAAATTTTGCAGTATAGTACACCATGAAATCTCGAAAATAATTTTACCGGTGACTCAATATTGCATTTTTTATTTAAAACGAAGACGGAATCATTAAAATGGTACCATAATGGATTCTAGATTATCACTTATCAAGAGAATAACATGTAATGTGCTCTAATAAACTAGTGCATGCTCGTAGGTCACATGGAGGTAATCACCGAGATAAGAGACCGGTTTTACTTTCATGCACAGTTTTCGTGTTAGCATGAATCAGCATAATAATAATTATAATAATATAAAACTAATCAAAATAATAACTGTAGTATAAATAAAACAAATAAATAAAACATACCACAACTAACACATACGGTCTAGCAACGTGAATTACTCTGTTTTGTCGGCATTTATACAGTTGATGGTAAGATACTGAGGTATGACTGCTTCGGAGTAAGACAGAGTCCACCGTGTAATTCAATTTGGCGCTGAGAGGTCCACGAAATCCTACTCTGTAGAAAGCATTGCTTTCTACGCACTTCATGCGCACGCGCACTTTATACGCAACTCGCAGGCTGCGCATGAAGTTTACTTGTACTCCAAGATGTTAGCAGTTAACTTTAACAAAACACAAAAGAAGGCAAGTAGAAATTATATGATAGCACAATCGTAGCAAATATACGAGCACAATCGTAGCAAATATACGAGCGATCAATCGTAGCAATTATTCGAGGGCACAATCGAGGCAATTATACGGGCACGCAATCGTGGCAATTATTTGAGCGAGCGCAAAATCGTTGCAATTTTTTGAGCACACAATTTTAGTAGTCATTTGAGCCTGGCAATTTATTCCTGCGCACGGTCGTGGCAATTATACGAGCGCACAATCGTAGCAAATATACGAGCGTACGATAGCATGAAAAACCCTTCATGAAAACCCGCATTCTTCATACTAGTATAAAGAATTCGAATCGCATAATTGCAAGCTTATGAGAAATAGTTACACATCACCGATGCGTTGACTGAGCGAGTTATAGGCATGTAATAAATTACAAAATTCAAAATAAGATAAATTTTGAATGATCGTTTGATAATGTCATGCATACGCAATTTCTACGGTGATAACTAACATTAAGTTATTTTAAAAAAAGTTTTACATAATATTCACACCAAGCTTCAGATGTCAAGGTCCAGAAGACTGTATGAGTAGCACAATGCACGTCGCGCGTTTATTGATTTGCATCAAGCCTAAAAAAACGCAACCAATGAAGCGTTTGCGCGTGAAACATGACTTATATTGCACAATAAGTACGAACGCAACGCTTTTGCGTTTGGACTTTGTTTTCTGTACCAAAATGAAAAACATTTCGGGTGCCCTCGCAATTTAGTAGCGCAAATCAAAAATAATATTACCATCGTGCATGTCCAAACAATCGACTTCATCTAACATTGAGTGAATCACTTTGAGCGGCGCTCAGTGAAGTATTTGACTTAAATTCATTTAAAAATGAGGACAGCACTTTTTTTGATAATGACGGCACTGTGACAATAATAAATGAATAGTTGAAAGTGCGCATAATGTAGAGCGGTAAAAAATCAAGATTCACAGCCTGTATCTATGAGAAATTAAAATTCTATATTTTTAGTGGCCAGGGTCTCTATGCCTATGCCATGCGATTACTAATGATTGTCTTGAGACTCCATTAGCTTCTTTGATCAGCAAGATTGAGATCTTTGTTAGTATTTGGTGTTTTTGTCTGCGAGTAGACGGTCATTGCTCTTGCCAGTGTCTGAGTGCTGTTCTGAAGGCTGAAATCTTATACCACTATTGAGTTTACATTATGAGAGATGAAGAATAATTACGAAATAAGAAATAGTCTTTTTTGGTATTAAAGCCTGCTATGAAATGAAAGTTTTTTTTGGGTCTTCGTGATATGTGACTGCCGAGGTTTGTTAAAGCATGCAAGTTTCTGGTAACGCATCTCGATGACGAATACTTTTTTTATTATTTGAAATGAGTGAACAATTTAAAGTCCGGTATGATTCGATTTCGAATTTTTGGGTGGTCGTTCATGTTTAATTCAAAGCTTCTACATTTATCAACCTATCTTTCTTAAATTTCCCGCACATATGTAAAAGGGGAAAAAATACTATTTGCTCGAATAAATTTTTTGAAAATGAAAGAAATCGTGAAATAAATAGAAAACAGCAAAAAATGGGTACTTTAAAAAGTTATTAACTTTTGCAAATCACGTGCTGCAATATTTAGACACATTTCATTTGATTTGTAACAAAATTATCTAACGGCTCCAGAGCCCCGATTTTCTTCATCGTTTTTATTTTATGCGCGTTTTTTCATTTTTCCATATCATCCCCCCCTCCTCACCCCCACTCCCCCCATATATAAGTCAAACATGCTCAAATCTAAAAATAAAATACTTAAAAAAAACTTTTTAAAAAAACACGTTTTTCTTGTGGACTAAAAAGTAGAAAATAAATTATGGCTCTGAAAATTGTACATTGTATTTCAATGTACAATGTAGAATTGTACATTGATGCATGTAATTTCATTTCATTTCATGCACCAATTGAATAAATTCCACGCATTTCATTGAATAAATATGCCTGGAAACGTGCAACAAATTATTGATTATTGTATTGTCATTGGGAGCTGAGCTTCCCAAAAAGTTTCAGAGCCCTAGCTAGTGGGAAAGTTTGTGAAATATGGATTGCAAGATTTGATCATCACAGACGGACACGAAAGCGAGCTAAGAAAAACGTGGTAATAAGGCTCCCAGAATCACTAGGTATGGTCTTTAAGAATCGAATGATATGTCTTTAATTGCTGTAGCTTGAATACTGTAGGAGTTATTAAGTTTTTAATATGGCGTATTTTGGAAATTTTAACTGGTCATGGGAGCCAAATAAAGTAGAATGTTTTGAGAAAGAAGAATATGCCAAAAAAAATTCTTTATATTGCAGGCCACGCTTCACCATTGCCAATTAGTTGCACTTGGGGTACCAGCACGCGTCTTTAGACTTATTCTTGTCAAGTTTAACGTGAATAATAAGCAATAAATGTTATTTCTGTGATGTTCTGAGTTCTGTGTGAATGTTCATTTTATATAAATACAAAACGGCCTGACGCAAAAAACATTACATGTACATCCGTGATATTTGCTTTCTTGAACGCACATCGTTTGTAGCTCTCAAACGAGTGCAAACACTTTGCAATTAACGCAAATAATGATCTATAAGTAGCATTTTTCAATTAAAATTTGTAAATATTGTTATAAATTGATTATAAAAGTTCAAAACTTCATTACGCAAAAATTATTGCTTGTACATATATGGTATTGTAGCTTTTTTGAACGCGTCTTGTTTGTAGCTTTGAAACGAGTGCAAACACCTTGCAATTAGCAAGAGTATAATGATATACATATACAGATTTAATTCAAAGAAATCTTTGTGCATATTGTTGTAAAATATTCATTTTATTTATTTTTAAAATTGCTTTACGCAAAAACTGGAGCACGCACATACATGAGGTTTGTTGCGTTAAGCGCGCCTTTTAGCAGCTACAAAATGAGCAAAAAAAAAAACTGAAAAGCCAATACATCCGATTTTTCACCGAATCGGTCCCCTTAATGATCAATGTGGTTCAGTTTAATCTGAACACGTCAGCGTTAGCAATTAAAAACATAGTTCATTAAAATAAAAAGAACACTGAAATTATCATAATTAGGAATGAAGCGGAGACATCGCAGTTCGAATTAATTAATTAATTAAATTAATTAATTTCAGCATGAGTGGTGTCATTTTCCCCCGATCCCCCAGTACTGTTCATTTTGTACTACCTGCATAAAAAAATTCGTTCCATGTAGCTCAGTGCATTACTGCATAGTGCGTTCACTCTGTCATATATAATTAACATTGAACACCATGTATTAGCTAGAACTTTCTAATCCTGTGGCCTTCAAGTTCACCAAATTCTTGAAGTAAATTGAACTTTGAAAGCATCCGCAGAAGAACTGCCTTGTGATGAAGCAACACAAAATGTTTGAGGTTATCAACTGTGAGGCCATTATGGCAGGTTGGTGTTGAGGAGCCCTGATGAAGAATTTAATATTAATTGGTTTATTAATTGATAATTAATTGATGCGACAAAAGATTCCCTTTCAGGCAATCCTCGATGCAACTGCAGTCATAACTGACAGCTCCCAAGACTTTGCAGCTCTTTTTGCGGTTAAAGCGTAAAGATTAGCCATGCATAGGAACCAAATTTTGTAAACAATGTAAAGTTTTTTCATAAATAAAATCTATTTTATAATATTAATTCATCTAATTTCCCAATATTTGAATTTCCTCGTTAATGATCTTCAAATGGTATTAGGTACATAGTCTAGCAACAGAGTTATTTGTAGTACATGTTCTGTTTGTTTTCAGACGCCGTTGTAAATGCAAGCTCTAAAATTTAAAAGCCACTGGAGGCTAAAGGTTTCAATAACTACAGACAGTCTCGCCAATTGTGTTTAATTCAACGAAGATTGCGGAACAGCTAAAAGTGATCTTTTTTAGAACGCAAAGTTATGCTCCATGACGATTTCATATTAATTATTTCGTTCATTACATTGAATAAAATGTTCATGAATGCCATATTTGTAGGGACCCAACACGTCTGACGACCCAACCTCACCACCCTCAGTACCTCAAAGTTCAACACATCTGGTCACTCAGAGGCCTCCCTACCGCCCAATATCTTCATCAAAGACTACACCAGGATGTCTGCCGATGACACACCGACACCAGTGGTCCCCAACCCTTGTGGAACTTACGAAAACCTCGCAGCAGATTTCGCCGAGACTCCTCCTGGTACAGCTAAACCAACCAAATCAGAGTCTGTGCACCAAAGTACAACCGAAAGTCCTAAATATTTAACAGGGACTTGCATTGTGTCAGTCTCAAACACAGTGCCATGTCGTGCACCGATAACTTCGCTTGAGATGCCAGGTCCATCGCCCAACAAATCTTTTTCGCCCGGTTCTCAGTCTTATAAAATACATCGAAAATCTTCAGCATCAGGTAACGATTCATCTATAAAATTTTCCTGTTACTTTGAGTCGGATCATCACTATCCGTCCCCAGTGATGTCCAACATCAGCCAATATTATATTCAAACATCATTCTTTTTGATACAAAATAATCTCACTTCCGGTTCAATTGTATATATATGCTGTTTTGAAAGTCATCGATTCATTTTTGCGAGTTGATTCATCTTTAACGTGGTTATTTGCGTCCTCCATATTTTCATCTTATTTACCTAATTTCTGGAAGAAATTTTTATTCACTACCGCTAACGAATGTCAATTTGAAGATCATTTTCAGTATCGCTCCATAGCGATCTCGTGCATTTTGTATATATATTCCCAAATAATCGGTTGTTACGCACTTATTGTAAGAAAAATTCTGAAATCAATCTTTGTAATCCATCAGCAATTCCGTATCTCGTTTACTTCTAGAATTTTTGAATGCAAAAGGGTTCATCGATAAAAACGATAGCGTTTCAAGACAAAAAAGGTGCAGATTTGCTCTACAAATACTTAAATTAAATAGCCTCACTTGCGCTATGATAGGAACGTCTATGTACGTGCAGGTAGCACGAGTAAAATTTGTTCTACAAATACTTAAATTAAATAGCCTCACTTGCGCTATGATAGGAACGTCCTATGTACGTGCAGGTAGCACGAGTAAAATTCTTCGTGCACTATGTCTTGGATCATGTCTAAAGGAGTGCCGCTGCTGCAGACCAGGGGCCATACTTTCAAAAGTTGCTAAGTGAACGTAAATACTTACTCTCTATTTTCTTGTCTATGATTGGTGAATTTTGCTTGAAAGGCCGTCAATGATTGGCTGATGAGCTTACGATCTCTTTTTGAAGGTATGGGCCCTGTCATGCAGAAGCACAACCCACTGCCCACCACCCCTACCAAGGGCGACCGCTTCAAATATGCCTTCACCTGCCCTCCACACGGCATGGTGGGGGCCATCTCCTTACCTTTAAAAGTTACTCTTTGATATTTGTATTATCCTCATTTTACTTTGGACTGCTTAACTGTCATGAGACAAATTCTTCAGGTTGACGAGGTGCTTGTGCGTCATCTTTAGTAGGCCTTTACACAAATCAACAGGAGTTGTTTTCGATGTTTGTATTATCCTCATGTCACCGTTGACTGCTTTAATGTCATTAGACTAATTTTTCAGGTTGACGAGGTATTGACGTACGTAGCCCTGGTGCTGCTGACGTGGGGGGCGCTGTACGCCATCACAGGGGACGCCGCGGCCCCGGGCGGCAACCTCTTCTCCCTCTTCGCGGTCTACGTTGGTTCCATGATTTGCGGCAAAGTCTCACAAGTAATATATTGTTGTTTAATATTAAAATATATTTTAGGGGTAGGTAAAAGGCAGGCGGGAGGCCTGCATTGTAATATGAGTTATTATTTAATCTGGAACAACAATAAGTTGAAGGAAAATGATCTCTAATGCATCGCCACTGCAACTCTCATTTCTTAGTACAATTGATTGCCGGTGATATTTCTTAACCATTTAAGAAAAAATTTTCAAGTAATTTAAGATTCCATGCACACGTTCTTCAACCTTAATCTCATTTATGATTAATTGAAGGCGTGTGGGTTACCCGCGCTGCCGGGGATGCTGCTGGCGGGTGTGGCGCTGAGGGAGAGTCCCGGGTATCAAGATCATTGGGGAGAGTCTCGACCCCAGATGGTCTCTTGCCGTCAGGTAGGTTTTAAGGCAATTCTTGTTCTCAAGCTCAAGTCACTTTCTTTTGCTCATTTTTGTCCGTGCCTCTCCTGGCCTGGGGCCATACTTTCAAAACACTCTAAGTGAACGTAAGTACTTACGCTATATTTTCTTGTCTATGATTGGTGGATTTTGCTTGAAAGGGCGTCAATGATTGGCGGATGAACTAATGATCTTTAACTTTTTTGAAAGTATGTATGGGCCCTGGATACCAACTTACAGTCCACTAGTTGTCGCATCTCTATAGTCACTTCATTGATTTCTATTCTCCGTGTGGGGGTCGAGTTCAGATTTTTCCTTTGCGGTGAGAGAGGTGTTTCACGTCAAGTTCCCGCAAAAGCAGCAAACTTTGACCGGTTTACAATGCCATGGCGGAAACGCTGCTGCCACGCTGTACCGTTTCGAGGCATTGGGCCGAAGGTTGCGATCCTGCACACAAATATTTCAGTTCATCTGATCACTTACCGTTTTAAAATACTTTCCCTATGATTTGCCAAAAAGCGACTCAATACAAATCTATGGCAGAATCGTACCTTCAATAATACCCGTTTGGCCATAGTATGTCAACGTCTTTTAGATGAGCATAAATTTTTTGATAATTTCTTACGGTCTTATTCATGATCAATATCTAGCTAATACTAATTTTACTTTTCGTTTGTCATGTATTCAGCGGATTTTTTCTTGATTTACTTAGAGTTTAATGCATAGCAATTCTTTGTAACGAGTCGATCCTGTGTCAGTCCACTATGACAAATTTGTTCATTTATGGAGGCGTGAAAGGTTATGGCAAGCAAACTTTCGACTCGTGGCCGTAACTTAAAAAAATGTCCAAATAACTTTCAGTTATTATGTGTTCACCATTATATAATGCGTAGTATACAATTTATAGTTGCCGCATACAATTTGGTCGGTTAAAAATCAGCACACATGTCATTGGGACATATCGCCAATCACGAATTGTTCTTTCTTCTTCAGCCCTTTTCGTAAAATCAAATATTTGTGTCAGGTCTTTAGCAAGTGAAGCTCATAAACCATGCACATTTTAGAGGCTTGGCGGTGGTGGCAATACTGCTTCGAGGCGGGTTGGCGTTGGACCCTAAAGTCTTGAGGACCAAGTCGCTGCTGCTCGTCAGACTCGCCTTCGTTCCCTGCCTCGTCGAAACCTCCGTCGTCGCCTTCGTCGTGCACTTCGTGCTCGGCTACCCTTGGCTCTGGAGCTTCATGCTTGGGTATCCATATTTTCTGTTTGAACAGAAGTATATAAAGTCTAATGGACTGGAAGGAAACCAGTGGTTAAAATGATTGCGGTTCACAGTTTATAATAATAAATCGATTATTCACTCACTCGCATATTCGCTTCATGCAACAGCCTATATATAGGTCACATACTATGTTGAAGAAATATGCCCAAAGTAATCTATGACACCTAATTCATATTATATTAATTTTGCTGTCATTAGGAATTCTTAATTGTAAATTTTTACCACTTTAACCTCTGTTTCGGGGAGGAAATTAGGTAGTGAACCATGTTGATCACGTAACCGTCAAGTTTGGCGTAAGATTTCTAAAGTATTATCATTTTTCATTTTCAATTTGCGCTATATATATAAAATGCACATAACACGCAGTTAATTTAGGCAATTTTATTCATTTAAAATACTAAAACGGCTGTTACCCATGTTACAGATTCATCCTGGCGACAGTGACGCCACCTATCGTCGTGATATGCCTGCTGCAGTTGACGCGGCAAGGGTTCTGTGCAGATGAAGGTATCCCTACCCTCATCATTGCAGCGTCCACCATCGAAAATATTATTGCCATTTCGGGCTTCAATGCGATGCTCGGCCTTGCTTTCGCTGAGGGTAAGTGACTACCTCTCAGGACGAATGACTTCATCTAAAGTTTAGTGACTTTCTCTGATGTTAAACGACTTACTGTAACGTTAAGTGACTTTCTCTATTGGAGTAAGTGATTATATCTGGGGTAACTTTCTCTCTGGGTTTGCCAATTCTTAGGAGGGAAGGTGACTATATAAATATGGGTAAGTTTCGTTTCATGTTAAGTGACTTTATTCAATTATGACTGACTTCGTTTGATTATGAGTGACTTTATCTGATTATGAGTGACTTTATTGATTATGAGTAACTATGTTTGATTATGAGTTACTTTGTTTGATTATGAGTGACTTTGATTATGAGTGACTTTATCTGAATATGAGCGACTTTATTTGATTATGAGTGACTTTATTTGATTATGAGTAACTTTGTTTGATTATGAGTGACATTGTTTGATTATGAGTCACTTTATATGATTATGATTGACTTTATCTGACTATGAGTGACTTTATCTGATTATGAGTGACTTTATCTGATTATGAGTGACTTCATTTGATTATGAATACAACAAGGTTCCAGAAGGATTACTAGAATTTGAAACAAGAACCAACACCAGGGGCCACAGCTATAAGNAAATTATTTTGCTTAATGTTGCAAGTTATAGGTTTTTTCTTATGGCCCAAATACCTATGAATGAAAATTTATTCTGAACCCTTAGAGTGAAAACTGATAGATATGTCTCAACGTAGTTCTTGTCAATTTGTTACACACATTACAATTGACAATCAATTGCAATGTCAGATTCTGGAAATGGAGCTTCGTACAGTTGGGCTGGGAGTTGCATTGCTGTTGATCAGCATGACCAGCCGTGCGCTCTCGACCTTTTTTACGATGCTCGGCAGCGGCCTGAACATCAGGGAGCGATTCTTCGTCGCCATCGCCTGGTTGCCTAAAGCCACTGTCCAGGTTCGCATGCTATAGCATTTAAGTCACTTATGAATTACGGACACAGAGTCTGCAAGTTTTCGTTGTTTAACGTACTGCATAATTTTCATTTGTGATTATCGAGCACAAGGAACATTTTTCAATGAAGTGCATAATAAAGAATAAGAGTCAGGTGGCCGTAGAGCTCTTGGTTGCGTTCAAATTTCTCCCGACCAAGACCAAATAAATAACTTAGATTTCAGAAATCTATCTTCTTCGACTTTGCCTTTCATATGTCTCACTGCTTAAAAAAATTAAAATGAGGCTTCGTATTCACCTACGTTAAAAGTTAAATTTGCGATCATTGTTAAACCTACTTCTCATGACATTTTTAGACTCTTGTAACTGTAAACAATTTAATTGAATGCATTTTTGTAATGAGAAATTATTACTGGAATTAAAAATATATTTTCTTTGTACTTTTCGAGTACCAAGACTTCCCATTACATAGCACAAAGATTCCGATCAAAAGCGGTGCACGAAACTGCACTTACATCAATTAAAAGCTTTATTTTCTATTAATTATGAGCTGTTCGTATGTCTACGACATTACTATCATGTCATTTCCGTCAGATTGCTCTCGGCTCAACAGCGCTGGACTACGCCATTCGATATGGGGCCGATGTTGGTGATGTCGCTCTCGCCAAGCAGGTAAATTATACCTCTTATTGTAGCAAAAAACTTTCTTGTTTCACTTTCTTGTTTCATTTTCTTGTTTCACTTGTTCAAAACTTTCTTGTTTCACTTGTTCAAAACTTTCTTGTTTCACTTGTTCAAAACTTTCTTGTTTCACGTTCTACTACCGCGAAGTTTTCCAAGCTCTCGAAAGTTTAAAAAAAAGCGCATAACGCGACTGATTCCAAATTTGGCGATGTTGGAAGCTAAGAAAGGGAAACGAGCAACCTTGACCCACTCTCTGGCGTTATAATTAGCCTTTTTACAACACTTCTCTGTAACTTCACTTCTTGTTTGTCTGTTTGTCAGTCTGCTACAAATCTTGTAATTGAAATTTAATACACTTCTACTTATTCTATCGATCTGAAATTTTGCACACTTGCGTAAAGCTGGAGACAATGCATGAATCAAATGACAAAATAAGTAATTTTAAAAATATTTTTTTCCCGATATAAAAACAAATAAATAAATAATTTTCTCTGCTACAAATCTTATAATTGATATTTGACACACTTTTACCTGTCCAATTGATCTGAAATTTTGCACACTTGCGTAAAGCTGGAGACAATGCATGAATCAAATGACAAAATAAGTAATTTTAAAAATATTTTTTTCCCGATATAAAAACAAATAAATAAATAATTTTCTCTGCTACAAATCTTATAATTGATATTTGACACACTTTTACCTGTCCAATTGATCTGAAATTTTGCACACTTGCGTAAAGCTGGAGACAATGCATGAATCAAATGACAAAATAAGTAATTTTAAAAATATTTTTTTCCCGATATAAAAACAAATAAATAAATAATTTTCTCTGCTACAAATCTTATAATTGATATTTGACACACTTTTACCTGTCCAATTGATCTGAAATTTTGCACACTTGTGTGAAGTCGGAGGCAATGCATGAATCAATTGACAGAATAAATAATTTTGAAAAAATTTTATATATTAAAAAATTGTAAAATGAATTTTTTTATTATTCGAAAATAGAATGAAAAATTCATTGTGCATCTTTAACATTGGAGACACTGGATTCTTTAAAAGTGTTGTCTTTAAAAAGTAATTTTTAAAAGTATATTATTTATTTATTACTCGAAAACTGTTACAAATGAAAAATAATGGTTAATTTATCACGGCTAACTTAAGATAGGCAATTTGAATTCGGAATTCGGTTCTTGTCGCATAATTATTTTTTCGTAACCAAAGTAGACAATTTTGAGACTGGACGTTTATAAATAATTCTCTGACATTACATGCATCGATAAATATGTCTCAGCAATGAATTGTTCATGGGAGTCGCCTACTCGTTTCTTTTTAAGCGAAAATAGAATCGAAGATGAACAATTTATTTGCTCACTATTTCCTGACTATTAAAATTAAAGACACATAATAGGGTCACGATTCGTAAAAAATGAAATTTTCGCATATTGAGATGCGAGAAATTTTTACGTCTAGTGAAGTTTTGGTTTGAAAAATAGCATAGATAATGTAACACGTTCTTGGTGCTGCAGGTGCAGACATTCTCGTGGATGATGATACTCTTCGCCGCACCCGTCGGGGCCATCGCCACCTTAGCCTCTGGCCCCAGACT